GCTATATACTGTATCCTTGAATTCAGGTAATACCTCTTGTTCACCTTAAGTCAAGGGTAGGGAGGGTTCTGTGAGCGCCTAAAGCGCCAAGTAGTCACATTCATAGTTCTTCTTACACACACTTTTGCTTCTGGCATCACTGGCACGCCTCCCTCCGCCAAAAAACCCTCCCAAAATAAATTAGAATTGCGAATATCGTGCATTTTCCTGCTCTAGATTTAGTTACATCTCCTTCGTTCCTCTGAACAATCCCTGCCTCCTCGCTCTATCGCAAGGCAGTAAAATAATAACGACAGAAATCCCGTCCGCGTGACTAAAGCGAGAAACTAAAGGCAATGTCTGCTCTGAAGGCTCCTGAGCATGCTCAAAAGAGAACGAAGGCGGGTTAAGCAACAGCAGTTTCCGTTGGCCTTAGTACGCGGAAAAGAATCAGCCGGGAGCCCTGCCCAATCTTGCCTAGGATCCCCTTCCCCCTCGCCCCCAACACAAACTCCCAAACTATCATTTGGGGGCGGAACCAATCTTCTTCAGCTGAGGGGGTACACCGGATCAGTCGGGGAGCTGGATTGGTGGTGCGCCATCTAACGGAGATCGCTTCCTTCCTTAGTTCTCCGTAGGTACTTTTCCCTGACCTGTCGGCCGCTCTGGCCCACCGGTCCGCCCCCACCTTGTTCCCTTCACAGCCATGCAGCCCTACATGGTCAACATCAAGCTGTCAGCCCGGACCCTCACCGGGGCGCTCAACCCGCAGAACCGAGGGGCGGTCGGACTGGTGAGTGGGGGAAGCGGCGAGGGACCGGGGAGGAGGCGGGCACAGGCCACCCAGGCCGGCGGGGGACAGAGAGAGGGTCGTTATAGCTCCGCGCGAGCTACCAGAGAGAAAGAGAGAGAGGTGGCCGTCCCATCTCACATGCTGGAGCCCCGTAGACTTCAGCGAGGCTTACTCGGGAGTAGGCGTGCACAGGGTCGCAGTGTATGGGCGTGAGAGGGGCGCCTGACCGACCAGCCTTATGGTCCTAATGTGAGAGGGGATTTTAGGAGCAAAGGATCTAGTGTTTCCCTGAGGCGTGTAAGCTGCTAATGGCAGTTGAGTGAAGTTCATAGAGTCTTCAAGAAGAGCTGCATAACGCAAACTATTACCAAAGTCTGTAGGGGGTTATGGTGCAAGTGTGTGTGTGTGTGTGTGTGTGTGTGTATACAGTGCTTTTTTCTGGAGGTACGCAGGGGTAAGCATACCCATAAACATTTTGTGAATCTTTGTGCTTTTGTCTGTTTACTGTACTGTTTTTATTTTTCCCGATTTGAACTATAAAATGGTGATTTTCTTGAGTCAAAATGAGAGTACAGTGGTACCTCAGGTTACAGGCGCTTCAGGTTACAGACTCTGCTAACCCAGAAATATTACCTCGGGTTAAGAACTTTGCTTCAGGGTGAGAAAAACAGAAATTGTGCGGCAGCAGCGCGGCGGCGGCGGCGGGAGGCCCCATTAGCTAAAGTGGTACCCCAGGTTAAGAACAGTTTCAGGTTAAGAACGGACCTCCAGAACAAATTAAGTTCTTAACACGAGGTACCACTGTACCCCTAAACATTTTTTTTTAAAAGCACTCTGAGTGTGTGTGTTTTTATGGATGGAACCAGTGCTCCCCCCCAAAAAAAAATGTTTAGGGGTACTCTCATTTTCCTACTCATATTGAAATAAAGGTAAAGGTACCCCTGCCCGTACGGGCCAGTCTTGACAGACTCTGGGGTTGTGCGCCCATCTCACTCAAGAGGCCGGGGCCAGCGCTGTCCGGAGACACTTCCGGGTCACGTGGCCAGCGTGACATCGCTGCTCTGGCGAGCCAGAGCCGCACACGGAAACGCCTTTTACCTTCCCGCTAGAAAGCGGTCCCTATTTATCTACTTGCACCTGGGGGTGCTTTCGAACTGCTAGGTTGGCACGCGCTGGGACCGAGCAATGGGAGCGCACCCCGCCGCGGGGATTCGAACCACCGACCTTTCGATCGGCAAGCCCTAGGCCCTGAGGCTTTTACCCACAGCGCCACCCGCGTCCCTCATATTGAAATACTGCTCCTCAATGAGGCTAAACTTAAATTCACAAAATGTTTAGGGGTATGCGTCCCCCCAGAAAAAAGCACTGTATGGAACATGTGTGGGCTGACATGTATGTAACGTGTGGGCTGACATGTATGTAACTGTTTGACTGCTCTGCCGAAGGCACACTCTTTCCAAGGTCCCCCAAGATAGACGGGTGCCAGCCATGTGTGGGTTAAGAAAAGGATGACAGGTGTAGTGCTTGATTATGGGAACAGGCAGCATCATGGGCATGTGAGCTTTGGCAACTGGGTTAAGTATAGGATGAAGAAACTTGAACTGGTTTGGTTGGCATCTTTCTGTCTTCAGGAGACGACAGAAGAGCGCGCCTTTGGGGGGTAAAGTCAAACCACTGGAAGAGTTACAGCGCTTGCTGTGGCTGTAGAGACCCATACAGGAGAGGCGTGTTTTGTTGCAGCCTGTCCTTATTAAGCGGAAATGAAAGCTGTTTGTAAAACACTTAAGATGTCACGAGCGGAGGGATTTACGGTAGGGTAGAAATAAAAGCACAAGACTTGCCTTTACTGGAAAACTGAGGGGAAAAGTCTCCTGCAGTTGATAAATACAACAATTTGGGGGTTCTTTTTATGCGTAGGAGTGGTTGCCAAAAGATTCTTTCAGTTCTCTAGTGATTCAGCTAGAGTTGCTTTCACTTCCCCCTTTTTTTTGGAGTGGAGGATGGTTTGAGACATTCAGTGATTATAACTTTGGATCTAATTTATTTCTATAATTTATATACCACTTAACACCAGTCTCCAAGCAGTGTAGTTTAATCATGTATTTCATATTTTTTGGCTTTGTTTTTGTTCTACAGTTTACCAAAATTATGTTTCTGTGTCTGACAGTATGATTACTATTTTCTAGGGGCTGGCAAGGGTTGATTGCATATGGATGCCATTCTCTCGTTCTGGTTATTGATTCCAAGACTGCCCAGACCCTACAGGTTTTGGAAAGGCACAAAGCTAATGTTGTCAAGGTAAGTTAATAACATTGTAACCTGCTTAATGTAAAAATCAGGTAAGAGAAAATAATCAAACAGCAACCCTATCATGTTTAGGCAGTAATTGCATTTGTTTTCATAATGCTGTTTCAGTTGTAAGAAGTAACAAGCGTATTGCTATCTAACCACACCTCTTGACAAAAAGTGTTAATGTTCAATGTTCCAGTGAGCCATTATTTTCGATCAAGATATTTCATTCCTATCGTCCAGTTCTCTTATTTTTCTTTTTTACCTAACACTCAACATTTTGTGGCTACAGAGTATATCCAGAGGCTACAGAGTATATTCAATCTTCACTGGGCTCTTGTGGGGGGAGGTGCTTGTTCTGTTGTTGTTTTTTAAGTTTGTTGTACTTCTCCACATCTTGGTGGTCCTCCTCATGCTTTGGTTTAATTTCTGTCAGCACTTACCACTTGAGTTCACTGTCAGAGAGAGTGCTGTGAATTTGAAATTTATTAATTTCAAATTGCCATATAAGAATATTGGTGGTATTAGATTTGTTTGCGCCTTGGGATTTATTCACTCTTCCCAATACATTTATTACTTACTATACAACCTCATGTTACAGATTTGTAAATTGCATATACTAGTATTAGTCTCAGGTTCTAATTTCTTCAGTTCCATTATTTATTTATATTAAATTTATATACCGGCCTTCATTTGTAGATCTCAGGGTGGTTCATAACATAAAGATACAGTATAAAAACGCAATTCGTTAAAAATAGTATTTCATGCTTCTGTTTATGTTACAAATATCTCTGAATGTTATTTATCTTTCTACGTTTAGGTTAAATGGGCTAAGGAAAACTACCACCACAATATTGGATCACCTTATTCTTTGCGCTTGGCTTCTGCTGATGCCACTGGAAAGATCATTGTTTGGGATGTTGCTACAGGAGCTGCTCGCTGTGAAATACAAGAGCACACAAAACCCATTCAAGGTAAGGAAACTTTTGTGTGTGTGTGAGTTACACCATCGTGCAGTAATACAGTGGTACCTCGGGTTACATACACTTCAGGTTACAGACTCCGCTAACCCAGAAATAGTACCTCGGGTTAAGGATGGTTCAGGATGAGAACAGAAATTGCACTCCAGTGGTGCAGTGGCAGCAGGAGGCCCCATTAGCTAAAGTGGTGTTTCAGTTTAAGAACAGACCTCCAGAATGAATTAAGTTCTTAACCCGAGGTACCACTCTAAATGGATTTTCTAGCTAAAAGAAGAAGGTTACAAACAATAAGTAGTCAATCTGTATGCTTCCATTTACATTCAAGTAATTCTGCATGTGTGTTCCTTCTTGTGAGGAAGACATATTTCATATACCTGTTTTTAAACATTTAATTTGCTTTGCTGGTGGGACTTTTGAATAGGATTGTACTGTAAGTGTATCTGTTAGGAAAGTCCAGAGGTCCAGGATGGTGAGAAGTTTAGAAACCGAATCCTGTGAGGAATGGTTGAAAGAGCTGAGTGGGTTTATTCTGGAGGAAGATTTAAGAGGAGACAAGATAGTGGTCTTCAAATATCTGAAGGGCTCTCATGCAGAAGATGGAGCAGGCTTGTTATCTGCTGCTTCAGTGCACAGGTCTGCAATTAATGGGTGCAAAGTGCATGAAAGTGGATTTCAGTTGAACATTAGTAAAAACTTTCTAAAAGAAAGACTTGGTTTAACAGTGCAGCAGGCTGCCTCAAGAGGTTGAGGCCTCTTGTTTAAGTGAAGCTTGGAACAGCCACCTGTTATGGAGGCTGTGGTTGCATCCTGCAGTGCAGATCCTACATTGAGCAGGGAATTGGGATTACATGATTTCTAAGGTCCCTTCCAACTCTATTATGCAAAGGTAAATCCTTGCATTTCAAGGTCATAACTCTCTCCTCATCTCACCTCCTCTGGGCATAACAATCTCCACCCTTAGTTTTCTGTACCCACTACCCCCTCTCACATTCTCCATGGTCTTACAGCTTCCCTTGGTTTATTTGTCCAATATTGACTTACTGTCTCGTACTGCTGACAAAGTCTAATAAATATAAACGACCCTCAATTTATTGTGTGGTTTATACATTTTGAAAAATGTGTTTATTTCAGTGTTCTGTTGCTCCTATCTATTTCTATTAGTGCCATAGGGAAAGGGTTTAAAACCTGCAGAGTTGGGCTTCTACAGACTTTCCAGCCTTGTTAAATATGACAAACAATGCCCCATTGTTCAAGGCTACCCTAAACTTGTTAGCTCAGTTTCTGGAGAAGGCCACTCCGTCGCTAGGCAACAGTGAATTAGTTCAGCAGCTGCATTTCAGCTTGTGGTACAGGTTGTATAACTGCCGATTTGCATCCACAACCAACAAACTATACTATCACTGAAGCTTGCATACCCAGACTTGTTCATATTTTTTGCTTCATCACAATGCCTGGCAGGTGGGGGAGGAAATTTGGGATCTTTTATGTGAAAAGTAACAGGTATCTTGAAATGAACCTATGATATTTCCCTGGATGATGCCAGTGAAGCAATATTGGAGAAGACTGATAATGATATAGACTAACTTGCAAAAGGGGGACGCAGGTGGCGCTGTGGGTAAAACCTCAGTGCCTAGGACTTGCCGATCGTATGGTCGGTGGTTTGAATCCCCGCGGCGGGGTGAGTTTCCGTCGTTCGGTCCCAGCTCCTGCCCACCTAGCAGTTCGAAAGCACCCCTAAGTGCAAGTAGATAAATAGGTACTGCTTTATAGCGGGAAGGTAAACGGCATTTCTGTGTGCTGCGCTGGCTCACCAGAGCAGCTTCGTCACGCTGGCCACGTGACCCGGAAGTGTCTCCGGACAGCGCTGGCTCCCAGCCTCTTAAGCGAGATGAGCACGCAACCCCAGAGTCGGTCACGACTGGCCCGTATGGGCAGGGGTACCTTTACCTTTTAACTTGCAAAAATGAAACATTGTATAGAGTCATAGCTCAGTGGCTGAGCCCCTGCAAAAGGTCTTCATGTCGTCTCTATCTTCTTTTTCAGCCTTTTGGTATCATGTAATTGATCTAAGATAGATTTGGTTTAAAATCTAATAAAGGTATTTATGGTAATCCTGCCAGATGTATCATTATCAAATGGCACTAACTGCTAATTTAATATCTTTCAGTAAAAGGCAGTACAGTGGTACCTCGGGTTAAGTACTTAATTCGTTCCAGAGGTCCGTTCTTAACCTGAAACTGTTCTTAACCTGAATCACCACTTTAACTAATGGGGCCTCCTACTGCTGCTGCACCGCCGGAGCCTGATTTCTCTTCTTATCCTGAAGCAAAGTTCTTAACCTGAAGCACTATTTCTGGGTTAGTGGAGTCTGTAACCTGAAGCGTATGTAACCTGAGGTACCACTGTAATAATATACAGGGATTCCCCTTTAAATTGTGGACTGTGGCATCTTGAGCAAAAAGAAAATACTGTATTCAACTTTTTCTTTCTCATTCCGCGCCCCCGCCCCCCATTAATGCCCTCTAATGTCTCTCAGTTCTCTTGTGGCACTCCACTCTCTCTCCCCCTCCCGACTTTCCAGGAAGCTGTGCATCTCCTGCTGTGTATAATGCTGCCCACATTCCTCATTATCATCACAGTTATAGATGTCTTTTATTCCTGAAGTAAAATTCACAGCATCTTGGTGAAATTTAATTTCCAGCATGGGTTTTCATGAATAATTGATAGTTTGCTTGCCAAGTTGTCTCATAAAACTTTTCATGTACCATAATGACCCAAAGATTCCACCCCCACCCCTTTACTGCATTGCTAAAAAGCTGGTGAAGTTACGCGAAATCTGTGTTGATTGCTTCTGATGATGATGTGGAAAAGGAAATGGTCACAATGCATAACTTAACTATTCAATGCTGAATACTTTTATCTAATATTAAGGTGTTTAATTGCTGAAAAGGTTTTGCTGTTATTTAGTTCTGATGTTTCTCTGTGGACACATTCATTATCTATAAAGCTGCCCACATACGTAAGGTAATCTTTAATGCATTCCTCAATTGTTAGCAACATAAAAATGAAAGCATTGTAATTCCCTTCCAATAATTATTCACATTCTCTTCAGAATTCATTTTTCTTAGATGTCATTTTTACTTATTAATTTTAGCTTCCTCTGTCACAGATAAGGAATAGTTTAAAATGAGAACAATGATATATAGATTACTTTTTCCCACTGATGGCAGTGGCTGATGCCCACATCATTTTTTTGGCCCTGTCTCCTTTTTTGCTCTGTTTTAGAAGTGGCAGCCCATTTGTATTATGCCACACACCAAATTGCAGCAAAATTGTGTAATGCAACATATCCAACTGCAGCCATTTTCTGGCTGGCACCCCATAACATTTTCTCAAAACTCCAGATGTGCCCACTGGTCCCAAAAGGTTGGCAACCTCTGACGTAAAGTTTAGTTTTGTGTAGACTTAGGTATTATTTTAAATCGCTTCAGGACTTTCCTAATGAAAAGTGATGTTACAGTATAATCCTAAGGTTTAGATTTATTAGATTTGTAAGTGCCATTTGAAGATCTTTATTGCTAGCTGATGGGCAAAGAAATAAAATCTACACCCATTATGTCAGATATTCTGTCCTGGAACAGTTATTGATCTGAGCCTTGGTGATCCTAGCTGTAAAAAAAGAAAAAGACTTCATGATTAAGATTTGCTGAAACAACTTACTGCTTAAAACGTGCAATTGAAATATGAATTCTCTTCAGTTGAACTTAGTGGCAGGTTTTGGATTTATATTTCATTTTTCATGCTTACCTGTGAAATACGGAATGTGTATTAATTGGTTGCCTTTAATCAAGTCTTCATTCATCTCTGTTGCCCATGGGGTGGGTGGCTAAAATGATTCCACCAGAAATTTTTGTTCATTTAACATTTATAAGCCACTTACTAGAACAAAAGACCTCTAAGTGGCTTACAATTTTCTTGGAAGTGCAGAAGAAACATCATGTAGCATCTGCAAAAGTGCTAGTTTCACAGACCTAAGTGCTTAAATGGGCATATACTGGATCAAGTAAACAGGTCTCAAACTGTTGGTGGATTTATATATTAATAAATAGCACCTTGAATTTGGCCCAGTAACACATTGGCAGCCAGTGCATATCTCTGAGCAGGGCATTGTATTAGGTCTGGGTCTCCTGTCAGTGGAGAATACTACAGCATAATTTGGATTGCTGATTGTAGCTTGAAGTAATCCAACATTGATGTCACCTGTGCCTGAACTACTAAAGTCACCGTATCAAGAATTTTTTCTGTTGGAATTAATTCATAACTATGAAAGTTGCTAATACAGCATTAGGTAACGTTGGCAGCTTAAAGATTTTTAGCTAAACTTTGCTAAATGCAAGTAAATAAGCATGCTAGGGAAAATATTTCCAATGCACCTTGAAAAATTTCTGCATTTTCTGCTGGACAAAATACTTTGGTTGAAGAATAACAAGTCTTCTGTGTACATGTGGAAACAAACAATCGTTTCCACCCTAATGGGCTGCTTGCTTGAAGCCAGCTCAGATCTCTCAAAATATTGTGTTAACACCATGTTGTTACAGTAGCTATGTTTTCAGTTTTTATTTTCAAACCAATCTTCTTACCATACCTCTCCTTCCTGACTCCCCAGTTAACAAAGGGAAAATGCAATTTACACTTGCACACTTATGTGGGTTTGGCTCAGGAGTCCTTAACTGCTGGTTTTTACTAGCTTCAGTCTCTTTTGATGTCAAGCTCTACCCATGTACAAGTGCCATGTTCTGTCACTGATTACAAATGTTCTGGGATGTCCTTGGGCGAGATACATTGGCAAGGGTTGGCAGCAGGACTTGGCTGAGTTGTGTGAGCTCTTGGGACCATGAGTTTGTATGAGGAAAGAGGTGCTGGCTGTGTATGGTTCTCATTACTTGTAAGGTGTTCTGAGCAATTCTGGTATCAGTTTTTCTTTAATAAACAGACTTTTTACATCGATAACGAGAGCTCTAACTTTATGTTTTATTGATGCCACATTCTGATGCCTCAGAAACCTAGAAGATGGAAAGGGGAGATGTTATTTTTAGTTCCAAGGTTGACTGACTGACTTTTCATCTCTCCCTCTCTTTCCATCTTTCCTTTCCTTTTACTTTTTGACAGACATGCAGTGGCTGTGGAATCAGGATGCCTCTCGAGATCTTCTCCTTGCAGTTCACCCACCAAATTACATAGTGTTATGGAATGCAGATACTGGCACAAAACTCTGGAAGAAAAGTTATGCAGAAAACATCCTTTCTTTTTCGTTTGATCCCTTTGATCCTTCAAATTTGACATGTGAGTTCTGTTTTAGGAAAGTATGTTACCTTTCTGTTCTACAGGACTGAATATTGCTGTCATACAAAATCTTGCTGTTAGATTGTAACATGTGCCACAGAGGCTTAAAAGTGCAACATGAGAACTGAGAGTGAACAACATTGGACAGTTTCATTAACCTTGTGTTATTTTAGAGGTAGTTTGTGGGGGAAATGAATCTGAATGGTCAAATAAGATTGTGAAGGGAAGTCATGAATTCATAGTTAATTACAAAGTTTGCCTCAAGTCAAAGTTGTGGAGAGTGAAATTGTAGCTCATATTACAATGCAAATACAGCTTTATCATGCCTATGGGGTGTAATAATTAGAAACAAGGAAATAGCTTCTGTGTATTACATGTGAAGAGATACGTAGCTTGGCATGTTCACTCAGAAGATGGTCCATTTAAATTCACTGGAACTTGCTTTTGGGTGAGTTGTATAGGAATGCAGATATATAGATAGATAGATAGATATTCTTATATATATATGAGAATATATTATATATATATATATATATATATATGCAGGTTTTGGTGTCCTCGGGTGTCTTCCCGTGTAAAAGTTGGGGTGTCTAGGCGACGTTTCGACGAGGTCTCACTCGTCATCTTCAGGCTGGTGCTTTCGGCTTCTTGTTACTGGAACAGAGCAGGATCTCAGTGTTTGAGTTCCTATAAATACTGTTGAGGGGGTGTGGTGTATAGCCTCCAATGTTCTGGGCAGAGAGGAAGTTCCCAGGCTAGTGTGCCTTTTCTTCTTTTGTTCCTTAATTACTTGAGGGATATCTTGAGTGATTTCTTGAGTGATATCCTGAGTACCACTTAGGTGGGTCATTAGGTGTGGATTAGTTGCTAAAGCCTTCGTGTCTTGACCTCTTGAACTTTGTGAAGAGTTTTTCTGAGAAGATGGCTGTATTGCATTTAGTTGTGCTCTGGCTTGGCTTCGTGTATAGGGGCGAGCTGTGGTTTTGTGTCCTGTGCCAGCCAGATCTGTGTAGGGATTGCAGGGGGGTGCAGCATCCGGAGGTGCCACCATGGTTTGGCTACTGGATGGTGTCTGTAATTTATCTGTGGAGAGGGTCTGGGTTTGGGTCTGGTGTGGTTGATTGGTGATGGCGTTCTGTGTGCCTCTGGATCTGGTGTCGGTTTTTGTGGGGAGGGCTAATTTCCAGATGTCTGGCAGGCGGGATGTGTCGTCACGCTTGTTCATGTTGTGAGGGTGTTTCTCTATCTCGATGGCTTCCATGATTATTCTCTTGTGGTGATGTTCCATGTTAGAGAGCAATTTGGAATCTGCAAAATTAATTTCGTGTCCTGTTTCTTTCATGTGTTGGAAAAGAGAGGAAGTTTTTTCTTCTTTTTTGACGGCATTCTTGTGTTCTGCGATACGTGCATTTATTCGTCTGTTTGTTTGTCCAATGTACGTGGCTGGGCAGACTTTGCAGGGTATTTCATAGACCCCTTGGTTTTCTAACTGGATTTTATCCTTGGGGTTTCTGAGGATATTGGCTATTTTTTGGTTGGTGCAAAAGGCTGTTTTGATATTGTGTTTATGGAGGATTTTGCTAATTTTATCTGTAGTGCCCTTGATATAAGGAAGGAGGGCCATGCCATTGTTTTCTTCTGTGTCTTGGTTTTTGGGGGGTGTTTCTTTTTGCATTAGCTTCGTAACCCTGTTTTGTTGGTATCCATTGGCGATTAACACATTTATATATAACACACTTATATAAAGTGTTGCATACAAGAATGGGCATATTATTATATAAAGTGTTGCATATAAGAATTGGCAGCATTTTCCAACCTGATTCCTTGTACTACAAGTCCCCTTAGTCTCAGCAAGCATGGCCAGTGGTCAGAGATTATGGATTATGGGAATTGTGGTCCAAAACACCTTGAAGGTGCCTGGTTGGGGAGATTGCTTTGGGATAACACAATATGGTTGAGGAGCCTCAAGTAGGTGAAAGTTAGTGAAGGGCAACTGTGTCTGCCAGTAACCTTACATAATTTTTTTTAAAGGGTTAAACTTTTATGGCCTCAAATAAGAATGGATCATCTATCACTCTTTTCCACAAGGATGTTCCTTTTATCAGTTTGCCATGTATTTCAGCATTCGTAAAATTTGTTACCACTTTTCATTCCAGAAGTACATTGAAAAGTGAAATGCTACCATCAAATCTCTCCTCATATTTTACAGTAATAACTGTCTCTTTTCTTGGTGCAGTGCTTACAAGTGAGGGAATAGTGTTCATTTCGGACTTCTCTCCTTCCAAGGCTCCTGTCAGTTCAGGGAAAAAGGTTTACATTTCCAGCCCTCGTTCTAGTCCTGTGCATAACAAGCTGGTATCTGCTGCAGGGGCTAAAAAGGCCCTGGACAAAGTAAAAATTCTCATCACTAATGAAAAACCAAGGTAAGTCTTAAGCTTTCTACTGTGCTCACAAGACTTGTTCTATATAGCTACAGTGGTACCTCGGGTTAAGTACTTAATTCGTTCCGGAGGTCTGTACTTAACCTGAAACTGTTCTTAACCCGAAGCACCACTTTAGCTAATGGGGCCTCCTGTTGCCGCTGCGCCGCTGGAGCACAATTTCTGTTCTCAGCCTGAAGCAAAGTTCTTAACCTGAAGCACTATTTCTGGGTTAGCGGAGTCTGTAACCTGAAGTGTATGTAACCTGAAGCGTATGTAACCCGAGGTACCACTGTAAATCTATATAATACCTACAGTGCAAGGCATGTCGTTCTGGCTAATCAAGAATAGGGATAGGGTAAGCCCAGTATTCCATTTTTGTGCTTGAGACCTGGGATTGCTGTCAGTGTTTCAAGCCATATATGGCTGTGAAATATCAGGCTTTCAGAATGAGATATTTCCTTTATCCATGTAGACATGGTTACTTACCAGTTTTCCCTTTGTGACTTAAGTTATCTTGCTTCAAAAAAGTTTATTTACTTTTTCACTTTTGAAACAAGATTGCTGCCAACTGGAGCAGACTTCTGCTTGTGCAACCAGCACAACCAGCTTGTGCAATCCATTCTGTGCACCCTTGAAATTTGCTCCGGCCATCATTTGGAGCAAATTTTCAGGGCGTGTTGGAGACTGCTTGTGGGGTGAGGAGAGGAAAGCGAAGTCCCAATGCACCAATGTAAGTCTGCTCATGCAGCATTGGATTCCTCCCAAAGGGAAGCAGTGAGTACCGGTAAATTTCTATCCTAAGAAGTGATAATTGGGTCAGCTCTACGAATAGGTAAGGGAAGGCAACTCATTTTCAGATTTTGGAGTACCATTGCAGGACAGAAAATCATAAGTTATTTGGTTTTTTATATTCTTTTTGCCATTTGAGGGTGGTCTTACATAGAGTTTATTGTTTGTTTTGGCCAGTAGGGCTGTTTCTGAACAAAGATGACATTATATCCGTGGTTCCCAGCATGGGGCACATGCCCCACAGGGGGGCAATTTGATTTTTAAGGGGGGCAATTTGAGAATGAGTTATTAACAGTTAATGGCCTTTTAGGCTCTCTCCACATGAGTAGGAGTCCACTTTTTGAATAATAAGAATTATATGTCACGGGGGGGGGGGTCAGGATTTTAGAGATGCTTAAGTCTGGCATGGCCAAAAAAAAGGTTGGAAACCACTGCATTATATTCAGTAAATAAGCCAGTTGGAACTTTCAATACTTTCTTTGAATGGACTATAAACTACTGTGTGCATTTTCAAGCACTGGAATTCATGGACAAGTTCCAGGGATTTGGATTCTGAACAAAGCAGTACCCTGAATCATCATCTCATGAAAAAATGAGGGTGCATGATAATTGTCATTATAAACTGCCCAGAATAAAAAATTCAGTAATGCAATAAGAACATTTGAAGGGAGGGATGGGTATTTTTGTTGTTGGTTAGTTGGTTGGTTGTATTTGTTGTAGCATAAATAAAATAAGTTTATATAAATTGCTTCAGAATTTATCTATTTGTTCACATGTGGTGGTATTTCTACATGGTTGTGGGGCATTTGAGAATGATCGCAGGGAGGAAATGTGGTAAAAATTGACTTCCTGATTATGTAGTCTGCTAGAAAGCTCTCCTGTAAAAAGCCCTGTTTAAAATATGTGCTCTTTTGTGGGTCTTGGAAGTGTCTACTGGTGTGTAAATGTGTGTGTGGGGGGGTAATCTCTATGTTGATTTTTTAAATATTACCACCTATTAAACTTGATTATTGCATTTTGATATTTTTCCTGCAAACAATTAAACATTAAGCTCCATATGGCACAATTTTCCTTCTTTGTTGCTGTTTTTCATCCTGAATACCTTTAAATGTGTCAGTAATTGTTTTAACAAATTCATCAGACTGTATTGTGAATCAGTGCTGAATGCAACATGTTAATGTTCCAAGATGGTTCCAAGATGGCGGCGCGCATAGACGCTGCGGCTTAGTGCTCTCCCTTAGCGTTTTGTTTTGTTTGTTTTGTTTTATTATTTTTACTTGGTCTGAGTATGTCTGGCCGGGCAAGAAAGATTTACAGCAGGCAGGAACTTCTGAAGGTCAGGTTACAGTGTGAACAAGCTGTAAGAGCTGGTTATTTTCGCCCAGATAACGTTCCTGTGGGAGTAGCCAGGTAAAGTCCAACTGGCAGTTAAAGTCCAACTGACAGTTCAGCTGCTGTAGGGCGCTGGCTTTGGGATGCCATTTGTCTACACGGGATTTGCACCTTCCTGTTTGTGAAGAGGACCGAAAATTAATTCAGCCTTGAACAAGCAGATAAGGAAAGGAGTGGTTTAATGGGAATCCAATAGCCAGTAACCGGATACAAGATATACAAGATGGCAGCGCGCATAGACGCTGTGGCTTAGTGCTCTCCCTCAGCGTTTTGTTTTGTTTTTTATTATTTTTATTTGGTCTGAGTATGTCTGGCCGGGCAAGAAAGATTTACAGCAGGCAGGAACTTCTGAAGGTCGGGTTACAGTGTGAACAAGCTGTAAGAGCTGATTATTTTCGCCCAGATAACGTTCCTGTGGGAGTAGCCAGGCCACCGGGCTCTCCATGGATTACTATGCCTCCAGGGAGGAGGCGAAGGCGGCGTAGAGACAGGAGGCAAAGGCGGGGTTGTCGGGCTGGCGTCCTGGTAAGATTGCAGAGGAGTCCATCTAAACCACCGCTCCCTAGCATATTTCTTGCTAATGTGAGATCTCTTACCAACAAGATGGATGAATTGAGGCTGCAGGCAGCAAAGAACAGCCTTGTAAAAGATTGCTGCGTTTTATTTGTCATTGAGACATGGCTTCAACCGTCCATACCAGACACAGCTATTCAGTTGGAAGGCTGTGCGGTACATCGTCATGACCGAGGCATGGACTTCGGAAAAACCAAAGGAGGGGGGCTGTGTGTATATGTGAACAAATGCTGGTCCAATAATTCGAAGACTGTGGGCAGTCACTGTTCACCGGATTTGGAATATGTGGCTGTTAAATGTAGACCAGCCTATCTCCCTAGGGAGTTCACAGCTGTTATGTTAACTGGTGTGTACGTGCCACCAGATGCCAATGCCAACTTGGCTTTGGGATGTCTGCAGGACCTTATCAGCAGCCAGCAAGACAAGTATCCTGAAGCTGTGCACATCATTGCGGGAGACTTCAACCATGTTGAACTTAAAACAGTGCTCCCAACGCTCTATCAGCATGTGAAATGTCCCACAAGAGGGGACAAGACACTGGATAAAGTTTATTCGAATGTAAATCACGGCTATAGGGCTTTACAGCTGCCACACTTGGGCCAGTCCGACCATATGTCTCTGTTCCTGGTACCAGCATATATCCCACTCAGGAAACGGGCTCCCACAATATTAAAATCTGTTAAAATCTGGCCTGAAGGTGCTATTCACCAGCTGCAGGACTGTTTTGAGAGAACCAATTGGGATATTTTCGATAGTTCAGACCTGGAGGAGCACACGGCGGCAGTTCTGTGCTATATCAATCACTGCACAGACACTGTCACAGTAAATAAATCCATCCGGTTTTACCCCAATCAGAAACCCTGGATGAATAGAGAGGTCCAGTGCCTGTTGCGGGAAAGGAACAGGGCTTTCAGGTCAGGCGAGGTGCAGCTTTACAGTGTAGCAAGAGCAAACTTGAGGAGGGGTATTCGACGGGCAAAATTGGATTATAGGCTGAGGATTGAGGATAATTTAAGGAGCAACAACACAAGACAGATGTGGCAGGGGATTCAGCATATTACCAACTACAAACCTAACCTTGGTGCTGTCGACGGTGACCCTTTGCTGGCGGAGGAGCTTAACCTCTTCTTTGCTCGCTTCGAGAAGGAGCCACCTGAGACGCCGGTATTACAGCCACCAGCCGATAGGGGCCCCTCATTCACGGTAGAGGAACATGAGGTGAGACAGGTATTGAGGGTGGCGAATCCGAGGAAGGCGGCTGGACCTGATGGCATCACTGGAAAGGTGTTGAAGGGCTGTGCGGATCAGCTGGCGAGGGTCTTTACTAAGATCTTCAATAAGTCCTTACACCAGTCTATTGTCCCACCCTGCCTGAAGTCGTCAACTATTGTCCCTCTGCCTAAAAAATCCACAATCAGTAGTTTGAATGACTACAGACCAGTTGCACTGACTCCAATCATCATGAAGTGTTTTGAGAAACTGGTGCGCCGTCACATTATTTCCTGTCTTCCATCAACTTTTGACAACTACCAGTTTGCATACAGAGCAAATAGATCCACAGAAGACGCCATCAATACCACTCTCCATGCTGCTCTGTCCCATCTGGAGCAGCCGGGGAGTTATGTGAGGCTGCTGTTTGTGGATTTTAGCTCTGCTTTTAACACTATCCTCCCCCATAGACTGGTGTCCAAGCTAGAGGCGATTGGACTCTCCAACTCCACCTGTCTCTGGGTTTTGGATTTTTTGTCAGAACGTTCTCAGAGGGTTAGAGTAGGGTCACATATGTCCACAGCCCTTAGCCTTAACACCGGCTCACCACAGGGTTGTGTGTTGAGTCCCCTGCTCTATGCTCTCTATACGTATGACTGTACAGCCATCTATTCCAGCAACAAAATCATCAAGTTTGCTGATGACACTACGGTGATAGGGCTCATTTCAGGAGGGGATGAGTCCGCCTATCGGGACGAGGTGGAGCGGCTCTGTGTTTGGTGTGGAGAGAACAATCTGGCTCTTAATACGGCTAAGACCAAGGAATTGGTGGTGGATTACAGGGAAAAAAAGGCGGACATTCAGCCCTTGTATATCAACGGGGAACGGGTGGAGAGGGTGGCGGAATTCAGGTTTTTGGGAGTAACTATCGATCAGGGCATGACTTGGAGCGCACATACCACTGCTCTGGTGAAGAAGGCCCAGCAGAGAATTTATTTCCTCAGACTTTTAAAGAAGAACAATCTGAGTGAGAGACTGCTGGTGTCCTTCTACCGAGGCTCCATAGAGAGCATTCTTACATACTGTATTTGTGCTTGGTTCTCCAGTTGTACAGCTAGGGAGAGGAAGGTGCTCCAGAAGGTCATAACCACAGCCCAAAGGATTATTGGTCATCCTCTCCCATCTTTGGAAGAACTGTACGGTTCCCGTTGTCTTAGGAAAGCAAATAACATCCTGCAGGATTCATCTCACCCGGGACACAGTCTGTTTGCACTACTGCCTTCTGGCAGGAGATATAGAAACATCAAGTCAAAGACAAATAGACTGAAAAACAGTTTCTATCCAAGAGCTGTGGCCTTTTTGAATGCTGTAACTCGATAGTGTGACCTGGGAGTTTGATGGGTGTTGGTGTGGGTGTGGCTGGAATGTGGTTTGTTTGGTTGTTGTTGTTGTTTTGCTTTTGTTGTTTTAAGGGATGGCATCCAATTTCGTTGCACTTTGTGCAATGTTGCACTTGTGTAATGACAATAAAGAATCTATTCTATTCTATTCTATTCTATTTAATGTTGGTAAGATCAATACTTTAATGAGAGCTTTAAGTTTTGAACAATAGGCTTGATGGCATCTCATTTTGCAATTCTTTGTGAAATGTGATCTCGTGTCAACTGGAAGGGCATGAAAAGCCTAGAACTATTTACATTTCCTCCTTGTCAAAAAGGAAACTAGTGGGGCAGCTGCCGTTTCTTTGTTGCCCAGTAATGATAGAAGTATTTTCGGTGATGACTTGCACATGCCCTTAAGAATTATGGGTCTTACCCAAGTTTCATTGATTTCAGTGGGACAAGTATAATTAACTTTGTATGAATTGGAGCCTTTTCATTAGGATTAGACATATTCCATGTCCCTCTCAGATTGCTTTAAATGGGTACATGTAAGTATGAATATGGGACGCGGGTGGCGCTGTGGGTTAAAGCCTCAGCGCCTAGGACTTGCCGATCGAAAGGCCGCGGTTCGAATCCCCGCGGCGGGGTGCGCTCCTGTCATTTGGTCCCAGCGCCTGCCAACCTAGCAGTTCGAAAGCACCTTCGGGTGCAAGTAGATAAATAGGGACCGCTTACCAGCGGGAAGGTAAACGGTGTTCCGTGTGCTGCGCTGGCTCGCCAGATGCAGCTTGTCACGCTGGCCACGTGACCCGGAAGTGTCTGCGGACAGCGCTGGCTCCCAGCCTATAGCGTGAGATGAGCGCACAACCCTAGAGTCTGGCAAGACTGGCCCGCACGGGCAGGGGTACCTTTACCTTTTAAGTATGAATAAGCTGCAAAGGCTGAAATATTATAAATAAATGTGATATAATGGTGGTGAATTTCCATTTTTCTTTTGCTGTTCTCTGTAATCAGGGATGGGAGAAGAGGGCATTGAACATGACAGGTGGGTTATCGTAGCTAAAAACTAAAAGGGTGTGATGGTGGCGGTTGTAAACCCATGTAGGGAGCCTGGGTTTACTCCAAAAGCTAAACCTGCAATTGCAACTGATCCTGGCTCTGTATGATGTTTCCAAAGGTACATTTGTCACAGTTTACATGTTCAGGTTTATACTTAAAACTTAGGTGTATACTTGAATAAAACCTGTACGTTTGTTCTCACTATCCAACCAATACGTCTGCTCAGTTAATGAAAGAACCCTCTTTTTCTTGGCCCGGGCAAAACCCTTTAAAAATGCTTACTGCTTCCCTTAGTAACTAATGTAATGGCTCGGCTGTTCTTAAGAACGTGGAAAGATGCTGCTTCTATAGTTGCATGATCAATTATTGATGAGAGAAGCATCTGAGATGGGCTTGGTAGCTGTTTGCAAAGCTTGATTACATATAGCTGTTTAATTTGATCATGGATTGCATTTTGGATATTTGAACACTTGAAATCCTGGTCCCTTTGCAATGAAATGTATTTTAATAAGACTTATTTGTGATGTGTCTAGTGCTGAATCAGTAACACTGAATGACTGCCTTCAGCTATCCTACCTGCCTTCCAAGCGAAACTACATGTTGTTACTCTACCCAAGAGAAATCTTGATTCTTGACCTTGAAGTAAACCAGACAGTAGGTGTGATAGCAATCGAAAGAACAGGAGTGCCTTTCCTCCAGGTAATAAATCCATCTTGCCCTTGTGCATGCCTTCGTTTTCATTTTATCTTTAGATTTCCATTCTGCCCTGTATTTGTCCAAAGCTGTAGATGACACAAGAGACAAAACACTTTAATTTGCAGGCTAAATGCAACCCTGTGCTAAATAAGCTTGTTTCTTCCACAAAGCATTTCCCAAAGGTTTTATTGAGACTTAGTGCCTTGGCTCACTTGCTCTGTTTCCTTATGGAATACAGATGTTTCTGTTGATACACTGGATGTGTGCAAAAACCATCCAATACAAAGTTGTGAGTCAGTGAGGAACATGAAAGCAAAGGTTGATTGCTAAAAAAATAAACTAACCTTGAAGGGGCATTACAACTGACAGCTATAACCTTGAGACCACTTTTTCCTCCTTGCTAGCGCTATTCCAGAATAATTGTTGACAATTTGATTGATGTGAGCTGTTGAAGATTGGGGGTGACAAAATGGAGAATAGAACATAAGGCTGTAATCCAAATCTACTTACCTGGGAGTAAGCCTCCTTGAACTCGATAGGACTTACTTCCGAGTAGGCATTGCTAGGCTTTGCAAAGTGTATTTTATAAAAACCCACAAATACAATAAGCAGTTGCTGGGTTTTTATTGTGAGTTTGGATGCCGGTAGTCTTGTGGTCAATGTGTAGTGAAAAGCAGTAAGGTATGAGACAATTAAGAGTCTGACATGACCAATGATTCAGCTCTTTAGTGTCTGCTAGAAAAATCCACCTCATTTTGTGGTATTATGAAAATTACTAAAGTGGAAACAACCCCATAGTGAAAAGAAATGGCATGTTATACTTGTTTAGAAGTTTCCTCCAACAAAGGCACAAGCTTATTTGAACATCTGTTTCTGCTTGGTTAGGCAGCTAAGTCATGTCTGAAGCCTTATCTGAGCTGCCTTGATCTTTTAGAATATTTTATTTATGTGAGCTAAAAAGAAATAATGCTAAGCTTTATAGCTTTTGTCTGAAACTAAAATGTGTGTGTTTGCTCACTTACCGTATTTTTCCCTCTATAACACGCAGATTTTTTCTCCTAAAAAGGAAGGGGAAATGTCTGTGCGTGTTATAGAGCGAATGTGTGGTCCCTGGAGCCAAAAAATCAAGCAAAAGTCAAATCGCGAGTCACAGAGAAGGGAAACCTGAAAAGAGGAAGTGGCAGCTTTCCTGCATTCTGCCTCAGGGTCTTACTGCCCACCCGCCTCTGTTTCGTTGCTGTGATTGCTGAAACGGAACAAAGAGCAGGGAAAGCCCCTCCCCTCCAGGCAAGCAGAGTGTCGTTCTTTCTAATTCCTCTCTGTGCTCCGGTGCTGCTGGGGGAGAGGGAGAGAGAGTGGGGAGGGAGAGGGGGGAGGGAGAGGGAGAGAGAGGGGGGAGGGAGAGAGAGGGTGGGAGGGAGGGAGAGAGAGAGAGAGAGAGATGGCTGGCTTGGGGGGGAACTTTTGCCTTTCTTTCCTCCCACCCGTTAAATCCCTCTCCAGCATTCTTAGCCAGCTGCTTCTCTGCACACCCCTCTCATGTTCCTTCTTTGTTTTTCCTTCGCTCCCCACTTAAAATGTGGTTACAAAGCATAGATCAACATGGATCCTCAGGATCTTTGCATTGGGTCACCCCAAATTCACCATCAGATCACATAGCATGTCCATGGCTACAGCCTGCACCCAAAAAATCACGCACCCACTGTTGCCTGGGGCTGCAATGGTGCAAAAACGTGGTTAAAAAGCATGGATCCACATGGATCCTCAGGATCTTTGCATTGGGTCACCCCAAATTCACCATCAGATCACATAGCATGTCCATGGCTACAGCCTGCACCCAAAAAAGCACGCACCCACTGTTGCCTGGGGCTGCAATGGTGCAAAAACGTGGTTAAAAAGCATGGATCCACATGGATCCTCAGGATCTTTGCATTGGGTCACCCCAAATTCACCATCAGATCACATAGCATGTCCATGGCTACAGCCTGCACCAAAAAAAGCACGCACCCACTGTTGCCTGGGGCTGCAATGGTGCAAAAATGTGGTTACAAAGCATGGATCCACAGGAATTTCTCAGGATTTTTGCATTGGGTCACCCCAAATTCACCATCAGATCACATGTCTGTGGCCACAGCATGAAGCAAAAAATGATACATCCACTGTTTCATTCAGAATGTTTTTTCCCTTGTTTTCCTCCTCTAAAAACGATGTGCGTGTTATGGTCCAGGTGCGTGTTATAGGCGAAAAAATACGGTATGTGGGATGGTTCGCATTTATGCCCGCCTGCTAAATGGTGCTATTTTGAATGTTATTCATTCAAAAAATTAAAAATTCACCCTTATGTGATTATGACATCAGGAGGCTTATTATTTTAAGAAAAGAAATTAAAACCTTGAATGATTCCATTGATACAAGCACTCATGTTATTATTAAAGACGAGCAGCTGAAATCCCCATTATAATTAAACAATATATGTTTTAACTAAATAATAATTAAATACTATAATCAGCTTTCAAGACAATCTGAAAAATTGTTCATTGCAAAGCTGCCTGTAATTGGGTGTCCTGTCAGACATTTTAGTTTTTTAAATCTCATTCCCCAGTCTTTCTTCTGTGCTCGGTATCTCCATCAGTGGGGGAACAGCTGAAGAGGGGGTTGGTTAGAGCCTCTCATCTGATGTTTAAAGACGTGGTGTACCTGCTGGTTGTCATATGATGTGCAGTTTTCTTAAACTGGATGTTCTCACTATACATATATACCCAAGGTTTTCTATACAAATTCTAAGGTGTGGTTCTTTAGGCGGTATTAAGTTCTTTAGGCGGTATTAAACTAAATTATTGCATGAGCGGAACAACTTCATCTTGTACAATGGCAACTTTGCCCTTCTTCACTCCCTCTGTGTACCCTGTGCTGCCCACTGTGGGGGGACAGGACACCTTCTATCACCCGTAATACTTCTAACTTTATATGATGTTAAGTGTGCATTTACTCTAAGCAGTAAATTACTTATTAGCATTAATAATTAACATTTTCAGCCCTTTCTTTTTGGCAAGTAACCTGCCAGACTACCCTGTGACATGTACAAGCGTGTGTACAATTGGGAAAAATGGATTGATAGAGTTCTGTTTGTCTAATAAAATAGTAGGCTTTTAAAAAATGAGTCCCATCCTATTCCATAGTGAATAATGGGTCAACAAACTTTTAGGACGTTTGAGATATCTGTAACAAGTCCTCCTCTTGTTTACGTGATTTGTGCAGGTTTATTAATATGGAGGGTATGATTCAACGTGAAGAATAATATTAAACTTGGGGGTTCTTGTTTGTTTAGGTAATCCCATGTTTTCAGCGTGATGGGTTGTTCTGCCTGCATGAAAATGGCTGTATTACTTTGAGAGTTCGCAGATCTGTTGGTTGTATAAACAGCACATTAAATGAAGATCCAGGTGAGCAAGCTACTCCAGTCTACTGAACTAGGCATCTAGCATTTGAAGTTACAAATTCAATGTTACAACCAAAATTTGCATTTATTCTTATTAAAACTTTGGCCATCAATTTTCCTAGCTGTATCATTTCCAGTATAGTAAATAACTTGAAGGTGTTTGATTACACAAGTCAAATAAAAATCCCTCCACCTGGCCCAATGCTGAGATGGAGATGAGTGTAATCCCAACTTTGGCCTTGCCTTTCACTGGCAAATATTGCTGTGTTGGCCAGCAATATATGTAGCACTCACACTGAAATAGGTTAGTGACCTCTGGCACAGATTCATTAAAATAGACTTGAACAGGGTATGAAAGACATAAAGCTGTAGATGTGACAAATGCACCCTGTACCCTCACATTCTAAATGTCTTTTTAGTAATTAGTTACTATGTCTTTATTATGTAAATCCTCCAGTGCACTGACCTGCCTCTGTTTCAAATCCCCCAATATTTTGTGTACCTCTATATTGTTAAAAATAATGTCCGTTTATATCATACTATAGATGTAACAGTGGTAACCAGCAGAATTAGCACAAGAGCCCAGTGGTTGCTACATTTGACTGAAAGCTGTGCGTATCTGATATCTCATGTTTTGACATTTGCAGAACCTGACCCCATTCAGGAGCTGGTCTATGACTTACGAAGTCAGTGTGATGCCATCAGAGTTACCAAGACTGTTCGCCCCTTCACTATGGTGTGCTGTCCTGTGAATGAAAATTCTGCAGCTCTCATAGTCAGTGATGGTAGAGTAATGATATGGGAGCTGAAGTCCACCATTTCAGGCCGAAGTCAACGGACTAGGTAACCTTACTGAATGTTCGGGGTATTTTTTTAATTAGTAGTTTAAATACAAGGAATCCGTGGACTTGACAATGCTGCTTCATTTCTAATGTTTATAGCCATGTTGTTTAGTACAACTATCTACAACAAGGGTTGTTGTTCAGCAAAGCTGTCATTTAAAATGAGCAGCCAGATGACTATGGCTAATAGGGACGTGGCATACATAACGTCTGACAAGACTTGTATATGATTTATACTAATGTGTGTATTAGGCCACAATTATTAGGCTTATTGCACCTGTGTGATACAGCATGGGTTGTCATCTTGTTTCGTGTATTATTCTTGGTAATAGTGGTGCTGTCTTCTCTCACCTTCAAAATCAGTGTTGACATAAAATGAGCTCCCTCATTCTTAAAAGATCTCAGTTAGCTCCTCAATATCATTCCATCAATTTAAATAGGCATGATCACAACAAGCTATGTCTGTGCAGAGGACAAACTTGTATATAGCAGAGAGGTGCAGCGTGTTGATGTCATCTGTACATGAGGCACTCTAAGGGATCTCAGTTGACACAGAATGGGGAAACCAGCGATTAATTGCAACAGCGCAGTAACGTGCTGTGTTTTACTCTTGCCCCTGGACATGAATGCCATTTGTTTCATGAAGGAATACCATCAGGGTGGGGGACTAATCAGTTGTTAATTCCAGCCACTGAGAATCAAGGATGCTCTTTTTTGTAGAAAAGGAACCTTTCTGCATAGGTCATCCTGGATTCTGTTTGGCGGTCAGGCTAAAGCATGATAGAACGTTCCATTCTTCAGTTTTATTGTAATTGTCTTTCTGCAGCAATTCAACTGCATCACCTCTGTACTCGCCAGTCTCATTCTGTGGAATACCTGTTGGGGCATCTCAGAATAAACTTCCAGACCTGTCACTGGATAATATGATAGGTAAGAGTATGTGAGCCATAACAGTCTTCTACATTTTACTTCAGCTTTGGTAACTAATTTAGCTTGCTATAGTATTCTAAAGCAAAAAGCTGTGTTTCACAGTTTTGAGATTGGTAATTGCTTATGGCCAAATCATGAAATCTATTTTGCTTTTTCTGTTATATTGTACATCAGGGCAAGGCACACTTTCTACCGAAGAGCAACAAAAAAGTTACTGTTTGCAAGAAGTGCATTTAAAGTTCCTGCTAACAGGGCTTCTTTCAGGACTCCCTTTGCCTCCCTTTGCTATCCGCATGTGCCCACCTCTCACCACAAAAAACTTAAAACAGTATCAGCCTCTCCTTGCTGTCGGTAAGTGTCTTAAACAGTACAGTTGAATATATTGCTCATTTTGATTTTTTGCAGTGATACGTTTGTATGATAAACTGTGTGTCAGTCTGGGGACTATTGCTGTCTGAAATAGCATGCCCTTGAGTTGCTTGAATTACTTCCCAGAATAAATGCTGTCTTAAAAGAGAGATGAAAAGTTTTTCCAGTTCTTAGATATTCCTGCCATATATATTATTAATTTTGTGATTTGTATCCCATTCTAAGACAAACGTTTAGTGTGGCTAAAAATGCATTTTCCCACTCATTAAAATACAAAATGCTAAAAGAGCAGTGAATTTAAATGACCCCAGCTAAATACCTGCTTAACTCTGGCTCCAAAATGCCAATCAGCACATTAAGTCCTGGCTTATGTTTTAATATAATGCATTCTTAAAACTGGTTTAGTGAGGTATTAAAATGCATCTTCTGAAAGCAATTAATGGATTCAGTGTATAATGGCTGACCTGATCCCATGCTATGTGAAGAAATCCAAATTGTGCCCACTCAGATCTTGTCATGGCTTGCCTTAGTTTTTACACAGCACAATAGATTTTTGAAGGTTCAGTACTGACGCAAGTTGAAGTTTGATGCTTACTGTGGCAAGTTTCTCACTGACTTTTTAAAGGAAGCATTTATGTATGAAATGAGTCCTAAGTTCAATGCATTCATTCTGCTTGTGTAATGACAAGGTAATAAATCAAAATCAGTCTATCAGGATTCTGCCTTGAAGGTTACTTATGGTCTGGCACCCTCCTTACTTGAATATACAGTGGTACCTCAGTTTTCGAATGTCTCGAAAGTCAAACGTTTCAGTTTTCTAACGCCAAAACCGGAGGTAAATGCTTCCGTTTTCGAACGCGCCTCAGAAGTCGAATGGCTTCTGCTGAGTTTTTTTCCAATTTTCTCTATTGAATTTGCAGACCACCCTTTGAACCTAGGTTTTCGAACGTTTTGGAAGTCGAGTGGTCTTCTCTTCCGGAACAGATTATGTTCGAAAACCGAGGTACCACTGTATAAAGTCTGTCCACTTGGATTATCTTCTACCCAACTACCTATCCAAGTGCTACTATTTATGAAGTATACCTTCAGCCTTGCGTGAAAAAAGGCTGCAAAAGTCACTTGCCTACTAAGAGGCCCAGTACCTTGTGTTTTAGTATTGGCTGTGGAAAAGGACAGGCTCCTTTCTCCATGGGCAACATGGAAGCCCAGGCTGTTAGTGGTGTTAGCAGCCTGGTTAAAGAAAGCAGGGGAGCTTCTACCAAATGAGCAGACAGAAAAATCTGCCCCTCCACTGCCAGCCTGCTTCATTTCTTCATTTGGTTGCAGATGAAGGGACTTGCCTTCCTTCGTGGCCGGCATAGAAATGTAGTTGGCTGGTGGAGGGGTTGTGGAACATTCTGTCTCTCCTCCACCAGCTCATTGAATTTCCATTCTTGCTGCAGAGAAGGAGAAGCTCCTTCCCCCTAGCCTCCTTGGGCGCTATTTTTGTTAGCATAGGAGTGAGAGTGGCCCATTTCACTTCCACTGCACTACCCACTTTCTTCCATGGAAGTAGTCTATGTAGCCAATGGCTACCCGGTAAGCTCTTACACTCAAGGCTAGTGTAGTTACCAGTGGATTGGGCCTAATGTTGTGGGTGCATGATGTAAAACCTGCCTAGCAATCTAATCCATCACTTGAGTATGAGTGAATAAAGGAAATTATGTGGAAAAATAAGTATAAGAGATTCACTTTTGTGGCGGGGAGGGGGACAAAGTTGATTTTAAAATGTCAATGTGATTTCTGTAAATTTTGCAAATATTCAATTGACTCCTTGCAGGAACAAGCAATGGCTCAGTCCTGGTGTATAATCTTACCAGTGGGCTCCTACACAAAGAGTTAAGCATTCATTCCTGCGAAGTCAAGTGAGTTTCTTTAAATAGTTGTTGATTTTCTGGAGAAAGGAAGATTAAAATGTTTAATGTGCTATAAGCAATGCTGGCATTTGGCTTAATCATAAAATAGTATGCAGGAAGATTGTTCAATAGGGTGGTTTTCTTTTGCAAATAGAGCCATAGTTCTGTGAAAACTGTTCTGCTTTATAAATATTTGAATTGGTAACTAATGTGTGGGTGTTGATCAAGGCTGAACACAAGCCTTTGTGTCCCTAGAAATTGCAGCATAGAGAATTTCTGCCTAATGTGAGTCTGATTACAGCTATATTTATAAGGACCATACTATGTGCGAGGCGGTTCCACAATTCTTCCTCCTGACTGTGTTTTGTATTAAACAAAAGCCCCAAATGACCATGGAAGTCTGAAAAGAGGAATGGAGGACCAGCAGCTATGGGAAGACCATGGACTGCTGAACTCTTAACTCTCATCCCATTGTTTGTCCTGTGTCTTTGTCCCTTGTGTGTGTGGGGGGGGGGAGGTGGACATGATAAGTAGGGAAAGGGTTGCACGGTCCTTCAAACCTGCTGACAGTCCTTCACCATTGATCTTAGGCTTACGTGGCTGCTTATTTAGTTAAAAGTAAAACTTCAGGATATGGAATAATAAGCTGGCTGTTACAAGTCACTTGGTTTCTATGACTTTCGTGACATATTTCATTGCAGATCAGTCTGTTCACGGAGACTTACTTTTGTGCTACAACTGCATTTACAAGTAGATATACAGTCTTATGAGATGCTGCCCCTAGGTAACAATTCAAGAGGATACAGTCATGCTCAGCATGTTTTGTGAGCATCTCAGTGAAATCTGAAACTAGAGTAAACCAGACTTGTTGCAAAAGCCTGCAGAAGTTACTAGCCTGGAAACATTTGTAACCTGCTCCTTTTTACTCAGAAGATTCCACTTCATTTCCCCCCCATGGGTGCCGCTGTCATTATTATCAGGAAGTGGTGCCTTTCTGTGTCTCCCCCCCCCCCCCCCTGTTGGAGACAGTTCAAGCTGCCTGAGCCAGTCCTTCACCCAGAGTATCTCTGGGCCTACAGCTTGGGCCCAGAAGCTGGTCCACCTGGCAAAGCAATTCAGGTTCCCCCTGCTTTGCCAGCCTATTCAGCTTCTATGTACCTACCGCCTGAGGAGGAGGTGAATCCACTTCCTTTGTAGCCAGTATAGTCATTGATCTGGCTGGTAAAGCAGAGCTGTGCTCCTGCTTCACTCACCTGCATGGAACTCCTGGTCAGAGTCAAGACAGAAATAAACAAGCATGCAATTTGAATATACAATTACCCATTTGTACTTGAAGCACCAGGTGTTTGGTCACAGATATGCGGAGCTGATTGAACTACTGGTCTCTTGTACCTACATGTTGATCTTTTTTAAAAAAACAAAACTTGCCACTACCTTCCAGGATGTGGTATGCTGGAAAAGAAATGTCTGTGACAAACATTATTTCTGTTATCTATGCACAGAGATAGCACAGTTGGTTCTGATAATGCTTTTTTCCCAGGCTACAAACAAATCAGAAAGTGGTTTATGCAATGCAGTACAACATGACATTTATGTGTGGCACGTGGCAGATCAAATCGCTTTGGCTTATATCACTGCTAAAGACATCAAAACACAAGAAGCAGTTAACTAGAAGTGGGTGATCATGAAAATCTGCTGTGAGCTTTATTGCCAATTTCATATAGAGGATTTCTATTGCACACAGCAGTGTCTAGGGAAAAGAGTATTTGCTTTTAATCTTTGTCTAATTTCTTTTCTCTTCCATCATGTGCTACTGTAACTTTGATATTCTGTTGCTTAGCTTTTTGAGTCTTTTGAATCCTGCCATGTTTTATATTAATATTAGAACATTTAATGCTTTAAACATTAGTACTAATATTTCCCCAAAGTTAATTTTAAAACTATTTAAAATGCCTTATCTCATTGCAGTTTGAAAAGTGTCTTACATAATTTTATTTGCTTCACTTTAAGCATAATTATACTTTCATCTTTTTCTCAGTTTAATAATTGATAATGTTAGTTTGGGCATTGGAAAAGCCCAATCTTAAATGCAATCAAGTATTAAAAAACGTTTTGAACATTTTAGATTTTAAATTAAATTTAACCGAAATTTGCACGTGGCCCATAACTATTGGGACTACATCAGAAGTGCGTGAAATAAAAAATATTTTTGTAAGGATGGACAGAAGAGTGACAAAATGCAACTGAATTTTACATTTTCCAGCTACAGAACCATGGAACCTATTCATTATTAATTGTTCTGTTTTATATATGAAGTAAACAAAATATATTCTGTTTTGGTAAATAAGTTATTATTCTTGTATATAGGTTCTGAAATTATGGGTATTTTGAAAGGTAAAAGGTAAGAGTTCAAAAGCATACCTGTGCAAGTCGACAAAAAGGGTACTGCTGAGGCGGGAAGGTAAATGGCATTTCTGTACACTCTGGCACTCATCATGGTGTTCCTTTGTGCCAGAAGCAGTTTAGTCATGCCGGCCACATGACCCAGAAAGCTGTCTGTGGACAAACGCCAGCTCCCTCAGATATTTTGAAATATATTTGTCAGTAAGCATTGTGGAACTGATTTACAAATGAGTGCCTGCCATATATTTTCTTACCAAGTCCTGCAGAATCAAATAGAGTAAACTCTCAAGTATGAACAGTGTGGGTATGTGGACATAGTCAGCAACCATTTCCTTCCTTTAAAAAATAAAATAAATAAATGAAATCTGCCGTATTTCCAAATTGCTCAGGCATTGTTTGTGCTCACACCAATTTTATCCTAGCAACAATCCTGCAATATAGATTAGAGTAGACCAGGCTTGGCCAAACTTGGCCCTCCAGATGTTTTGGGACTACAACTCCCATCATCCCTAGCTAACAGGACCAGTGGTCAGGGTTGATGGGAATTATAGTCCCAAAACATCTGGAGGGCCAAGTTTGGCCATGCCTGGAGTAGACTAAGAAAAAGTGAATGGCTTAGGGTTACTCAGTGAGCATCTTGCCCCTTCCAGAAGGTATTCATCTAAATGGGTACCAGCTTGGTGATATCCAGAAATTGGGGGTTACAATTCCCCTCAGCCCCAGCCAGCATGACGAGGGATGACTGGAGTTGTTGTAGTTCAAAACATCTGGATGGCAGCACCTCAGCTAGTCCTGCTCTAAAGCTCTGTGGGACTTTACTGAATGCATTGAGGGATGTGTTTGCATGCAGGTGCTCATTAGAACAAGCAGGTGTGTATCAGAACTGTTGAACTGATAAGCAACAATTTTAAAATAGCAAGGTGGAGGGGAAGGAGAGCCTAGCAGTTATTTCTCTTCTACAGGGCACATTTCCTCACAGAGGCTGTATGAATTTAATATTAAAAGAGTGACTTGAGTAGGTTGCCTTGGGTTAGTCAGAAGTTAAGAAGTTGCAAAATTCAATATCTTTCTATTCCATAGTTAAAGTGGCTGTTACAAATTGCACTGTATATAAAAATACATGAGCCTTGCACTAAAGAAATAGGTGCAGTTCATAAAACTGGTGTTCTGTGACTACTAATTGCATCCAATGAGAGGTAGGTAGTTTTTTATGCCAACTTATCTGAAAAATGGCAATATTCCAGTAATAGATTGCTCTTGCATTAATGCTGGAACATTTGCTCTGATTTAATGCAGTGAACAAATTTCTTGCACCTTTATTCAAAGGACATTAGCGGAGAAAGGCTTTATCAAGCATTTATAAGCAGAAGTACACTTGACTCCCAATGCTTCTAAGTGGCTTTCCCCCATCAGCATGAAACTATATTTCTCTCTATGTGTGTGTTGTGTTTAGATGTAGCAGAATAGCCCAGAATTCCAGAACAAAAAGATTCTTCTCCCCAGGACTCAGATAATAAGGAGAGGACAAAAATGGGTAATGGGTTTTGTGTGTTGGAAACTTTTTTAGTGGATTTTGTCCTCAATTAAGAATATTTGTGCCATAAATCTTAATCCTGTAGCTTATATTGCACAATCGAGTACAATAAAGTGTGTACAATAGAGTACACTCATCTTAACACATCAATGCATCTAAATTCTCAGTGGGTTAAGAGTAAATCATTAAGATCACAATCTCAAGTATGTTTACTTAGGACTCAAGACAGTGCCATACACTGATTACTGTGGGGAATGAGTGTGTCAACCTGCATCTGGGAACACCTAAACACTGGATTGTGGAACACTGCATTGTGGGAAACCTAAAGTGACCATGGTGTGTCCTACTGCAATTTGTAAAGATCTGGTTTCAGCACCATAGGAAGCTTCCTTATCCCGAGATGTGTAGAGCCGTTGACACAATTGCACTTAAGTGGCCTTGTCATCACTGTGGAGTGTGCAGGCTGCCTTGCTTCTCTAGTGAGTTGCACGCCATGAATCAGGGGGGTTGATGCCTACAGTGCTGGTGGAGTTAACATTTGTCTGAACCTGACTTAATATAGAGGAGAGAACTTTATCACGCCTATCATGTGGTGATGGTTCTCATCACCCTGGAGTCAGACTCCTCATTTTCAGGGGACGGGGGCAAGGACTCTGAAGCCGAAAGAGAAGGGCATACAGGGCCAGCCCCAAAAGCGTGTCCGCTGGATCACCCATTGGTGCCTGTGCCCTGCCCTGAGAATGCAGTGTTGGCCTCTGCAGAACATCTGTTTGAAGCCACTGGGAGCTGTCATTGGATTTGGAGCAAGGTGACATCAATAAGCAGGAGATGCCCAGCTCATCTATCCCTCCCATCGTAATCAGGAGAGGTGGTTTGAGTGCTAGATGGTCCTTGGAAGTGGACCAAAAGTCGAATTCTCCTAAGACAGGTGTTAGTATGTTCAGAGTTCTCAGCTCAAGACATGGGAAAACGGCCTGTTCTGGGGTTGTACTGTCCCGGAAGGAGCTGGTCCATATCTTGGCTGGGATTCCATTTAGAACTCCCATCCTCCTGTTTTTTCAAAAGCAGCTGTACAGATTGCTAGTTTGTTTCTGGGCCTAATTCAAGGTGCTTAAAGCCCCAAAAGACTTTGGCTTGAATTCAACACCTGGTCCCTCTAGTGGAAAGTCCACTCAAGTACTTCAGCTAGCACAACGGGGCTTTGTCCCACTCTCTTTCCCATTGCCTACCCCCCCCATTTGGCCCCATTTGACATCAGGAGAACCATCAGAAGAGCACATGGGAGGAGGAGTGGGGAGATGGTTCACTTGGGCAAGCAAAAACACTTGCACTGCTAGACCATTTGTAACAGCAAAATGTTGAATTCCTCCCTTGGGCCTCAAATATCTGAAAGACTGCCTCCTTTCCATTTCAAGGGAAGGGCAAGTGGAATATACTGTAATTATTATTTTTTGAGTAATTAAGTTTGTCTGACATACATTTAATGTTTCCAATTTGAGTGCTATGCAGTCCTCTATAATAATCTGTTGTATCCTCCCCCCCACACCCCTGCAGCATGCAATTGGAGCCATATTTTCCCCACTCCATTAATCTGCAGCATTTCCTACAAATTCAGATAGTTTGCATAATGTGTTCTATATATATTCTACTCCGGCAGGGGCATTGAGTGGACAAGCTTGAGCGGCTTCCTTTCCTTTGCCACATCGACACCTAATAATCTGGGGCAGGTGAGAAACGAGCTGCAGTTGGTTGATCTTCCCACAGGTAAATATATTGTGAAGCATAACTGTTGGTGACAAGATAAGTGAGAAGTGATACCTGTGTAATGTAGGTTTTTTTGCAGACTCCTATCGGTTGGCTTCATCTCCATTATAAAGACATGAGTGGAATAACCGAGCAAGGTGGCTAATGTAACTATTTTGAACTCTGAATTCAAAACATTTTAGACCATGATAGCTCAGCAAGCCCCACACTCATTTCATGAATCATCTTCAGGGCATAAAGAAGAAGAAGTGTCTATGTCAGCAAAGGGTTGAATACTATTACAACTGCATATATTTTAGCTTCAACACCAATTCATACAGCACTAGGTTATAATTCCAGCTTACTCAGTAGTTTTCATGCTTTATGCAGTCTTGTCCTCATTCTAAATTTACTATATTTGCTGTATTTTCAACATCTCCCATTGGAGATAGCCCATTTCTCTGCATAACTTGAAGGCAATGGCCTGTGGCAGCGAGGAATGTGTAGTGCAACTCTTTCCTTCTACCAGTCTTGAAATTATTTTAGTTCACAGTTTGGACAGGGGTTTCCAATGTCTTCAACTTGGTTTACTATATGCAAGTAGTATATATTAACCTGTACATGTTTTTAAATTTGAATCAGTTGGTTGAAGGAAATGGGATTTGTTCAGTTTCCATTGCAAGAATTAAAGTGTTTTGATATTTATGGCAATATCTCTTCAGATAAAGGGGAAATGTGCCATGTTTATGCAGTTTTACAAATGCTTTGAACTATAGCTGGAAGTATTCAAAAAATAAAATCAGTTATGTACACTCAATATATTCTTAGATATTTACAAAACGTAGTTTTTGCTATAAGTTGAGTAATTAGCCCAACCAATGAACATCATGGCTGAGCTACATTTTATGTTAAAAAAATAATGATTTAGCCACACCACCACACTGGTTTTCATACTGATGATACAAACTTAGCAGCCCTGTGCAAACCCCAGTGAAATGAATTGTGATGGCTGGGACAGTGCCTTCCATCTTCTTCATTTTCTTAGCAACTTGGTAGAATATGCTTGCTAGTAACAAACTTCACAATATATTGTGATTACTGCAGCACGTTCAGCATATTTCTCAATTTTAAAAACGTTACCCAGATGGATTATGTTTTTAAAACGTTCATACTGTTTTATAACTATGAGCTATAATGAAAGAATGTTGGTGAGTAAATGTGAAAATACTGGATCAGTTCATTTTCCTCCACAGGCAGTCTGCTATTGCTGCTTCCTGTGATGTTCTCACTAAGTAAAGAAATCTGCCACTGATAGGAAAAACAATTTTAGAAATGGCTAACGAAATGGAAATGTCCTTTCCATTTTCTGAAATAGCTTTCCCACAGTTTTTTAAATATACAATTCTATACTATTTAATATGGGGTTTGTGCAGAGGTAAGGGCAGCAAAAATAAGATTGTAATGATTTGGAAAATCTGTTCCTATTCAAGTAAGCATATTTTTTGACTTTGTGCTAGTACCCTTCTATTAAACATAGGCTGTGAATATATCCAATACTTATTGTCTTGTGTAGGAACCATGTAGTTGGAAATGATCTAACAGATCATGTATCCAGCCTCCAGTAGTACCACAAATTATCTTCACCTTAAATTATCTTCAATAGATACTCATCTAAACCTTACCATAGGGCTTTTTTTTTAAAAAAAAAAGCACAAACAAAACTAAAAATATGCAAATACTTTAAAGGGACAATTATAGGATCAGTACAGATAACCACTCCTGCCAACCTAGCAGTTCGAAAGCTTGTCAAAGTGCAAGTAGATAAATAGGTACCGCTCTGGCGGGAAGGTAAACGGCATTTCCGTGCGCTGCTCTGGTTCGCCAGAAGCGGCTTAGTCATGCTGGCCACATGACCCGGAAGCTGTACGCCGGCTCCCTCGGCCAGTAAAGAGAGATGAGCGCCGCAACCCCAGAGTCGGCCACGACTGGACCTAATGGTCAGGGGTCCCTTTACCTTTACAGATAACCACAATTGATACAGAGGTCATTTAAGATACCCAAATTTCTCTCACTTATTCAGAAAGATGAGTTCTGAATCAGAACCAGAAGGATATGTAATGAAGTCCCACTATATGGCATTATAATATTCCAGGACTTTTGTGGCAGTGGAAATTTTTAAATTATGAGAGGGTTTTCTGAAATAGCTATTGTCTATCTGTTCTTTTACCAGAGTGTGATGTGCAAGTCCTTTAGGTCTTTCCATTTTTGTTAAGTTGAAATATGAGCTGCTGTCAGTAGCCAGGTTGCTAAATCCTTCAGGTATTGAGTACCCGCATGCCCATTCCATAAATTCTACAAAGCAAGTTCATGAGACATTATAATACTGGTTTTACAGATTTTAGTCCTTTCCTTATAGCCATCAGACCTAAATTTAGAGACCTATGGACATTCCCACGATAAATAGCAGAATATTTAGGTGAGATTGATTGAAAAGCAGCATAGAAATATAATCAATTAATCATTCACATGAATCACAAAGCAGCTTACAAACAATAAGTAACCAGTTATACCTTCACAAATCCAGTCCTGCCTCCCTGGGGCATTTGAAGTCTTTTGTAGCTTCGTTAGGAAATTGCTGCAACTTGCAGTACCTATTACAATAGTTTGCACAAATAAGGCACATTAGAGACTTCAGGTGTTGTGCTGATTGTTCTGTTTCTGTAACTTGAAACTGATTGAGTTAGCACAACATCAGTGAGAGATCGTTGGAAAGTCTTAAATCAAAAAGACTTGGAGAACGGTGGTAAATTGCAGATTGAAATCAGAGTTTCCATCCTTGTGTAAAGCAGAGGAAAATTGGGTTTGTATAATTGAATGGCTCGGAGCCAGCATTATAGTAATGCTTCATGCTCAATATCCATATTACAAAATGCTAGCATAATGTGTTTGCGTGGGCAGCAGAGACTCTATGTGCAGTTGAGTGCTGAGAAGAAAAAGCAAGATGATCAGTGTGATTAAATAAATAGCATTTGATATGTCAATTACAGTGGCTTTGCTTGTGGTTGCTACTTTACATCTTTTTTCCTGTATCTCTTGCGTCTTAGGTAGAAGCATTGCATTTCGTGGCGAACGAGGTAGTGATGAACCAGCTATTGAAATGATAAAGGTGTCTCATTTGAAGTAAGCAGATTGGCCAGGAAAAGTTGATGTGTTGAATTGTGCTAGAATAATCCAGTACCTACAGTGCATTTCTTTCTGTAGGAGGAAGACAGTTGAAGAAACGTTACTGAAATATTGAGCAAACAAATCCAAATGTACTGATGAAGAACTTGGTTGTGTGCCACTCAAATACATTAGGCTTTTCTTCACTGCTATGCTTATGAACTAGGACAGGGATTTATTGCTGTAATATTATACCAATCTTCCCACTTTTCCATTTCTCCCAGAAGTAGTTCAGACATTATTTCAAGTTGCTTCCTGCACTGGTAGCAAGCTAGCATCTCCTTTCAAGGGGGAAGATCTGAAAGCAGGAAGATCAAGTATTTTCTAAAGACTGGAGTAAATTTGTAAACAGTTAATGGCAGGGATGTAATGACACTTATAATGTGGAATTATTTATGGTAATTATGGTTATATAATAGATGGATAATGGTAGAAGATGCAGCAAACTTAAATTTAAATATAGAACCCATGGAGAGAGGGAAGGAGATCTGAAGGTTTGAAAGAACCTTGTATTTTAATGTTTGAAATGGTTTTGTTTTATATGTATAAAATTATCAAAAACTCAATAAAAAAATTATATATATATACAAGTATCTCCTTTCAAGGTTGGAATTAAATATTACAGCCTATGCAATCACCCCCTGTCTCTACCTCCTCTTTCCATTAAACATATGCAATTAATTGAAACGTTGACATCCTGAAAAAAGTTTTGTTTTGTTTTTTAACCAAGGAGCGTGGGATCAATGCTTGTTGCAGCAACCATGCTTTGTGCAGCTCCCATTCAGTTCAATAGCACTTCTAGCTACTCGGAAATTCTCTTACGTATGTATAATGCTGTAAATAGCTTCTTTTTAAAATTTCAGACAGTATTTGGCAGTAGTATTTAAAGACAAACCTCTGGAATTATGGGATATCAGGACTTGTACACTTCTCAGAGAAATGTCAAAGAACTTCCCTACAATTACTGCTTTGGTAAGGAATGAATTCAGTCAGCTTCTCATCAAATAACTAATTCTTACTTTCTTACCTTCTTGCTTTCAGAATGGTGTCTGTCCACTAGTGTTAGAAGCCTTTCACCCTAGGTGGTTGGGCTAGATGACTCTATAGGTTTCTCCCAACTCTACAATTCTGTGATTCTCCCAATGTAAACAGCCAGTAAGGAAATGGGACTTGACTTGCATATTGTTAGCTTTCATAGCATTTTTTAAAATCTCTCTCATGCATGTAACACTGGATCTAATTTAGGGTTGGTAAATAATATCTTAAGATGTGAACAGTCATGACTTCTGTTCTTCCAGGAATGGTCGCCTTCTCACAACTTGAAGAGCTTAAGAAAAAAGCAGCTTGCAGCCCGCGAAGCTATGGCCCGGCAAACAGTGGTATCAGATACAGAACAGAGCAGTTTGGAGTCATCGGTGATCAGGTGTCAACACTATTCTCAATTAAAAACCACACCAGCTTCTCCTTTGAGTATTTGTTTTCTTGCCAAGAATGCATTGCATTAGCACTGCATTTTGGATTTATAGACATTTATCGATGTTGTAATTTAAATGGGCTGACCTTTAAGAACCTTTGTACAGTGGTACCTCGGGTTACATATGCTTCAGGTTATATACGCTTCAGGTTACAGACTCCGCTAACCCAGAAATAGTGCTTCAGGTTAAGAACTTTGCTTCAGGATGAGAACAGAAATCGTGCTCCGGCGGTGTGGCAGCAGCAGGAGGCCCCATTAGCTAAAGTGGTGCTTCAGGTTAAGAACAGTTTCAGGTTAAGAACGGACCTCTGGAACGAATTAAGTACTTAATTCCTGAGGTACCAGTGTACAGTGAAAGTAACAGTAGGTGGCAAAGCATGTGTCAGAATCTGATGCCCTGCATTACTGTAGCATGTAAATTGAAGCCCTGCATGTGTGGGGGAGATTATATGAATAGATCAGCTTCACTTTAATTTGTTGGTTTTATCATGGGCCTCCAGACCATGCCCTGGAACTAGTGACCAGAAACTGAAGGTGGTTGTTTCTTGCCTCCTTTCAGCTAATTATGTTTGATTCTTCATGTTGCTTTCATTAATAGACTACTTAGGGTGGAATTCAACATTGCCCTAAGTTGATAATTCTGTCTGGCAAACAGAAGTGTGTGCACTGATTGAACTATTTCCTCTCCCCCACATGCACTGTTTTGGGGGTTCACCTGACCTTCCAGAGCAATATCTGGGGATGGCATGCAATCAAGGGGAGGGGGGCAAGGTCCTGTTGCACTACTAGGACTTCTTGTGCTGGTTTCTGTTTGTGCTGCTTATAATTGCAATGTTTGAATTAAGATACGGCTTTTTTCTAATTACGTAATACATATACGTACAGTATGTGTTCATTTAATAGTGTAAGTGTAATTTGAGTGAATCTGATCGTTTTGAAAATAAAAATCACCAGTTGGCTTCTCTTTCAAAGCTTATTGCAGGAAGCTGAGAGTAAATCGGAGCTGAGCCAGAACATTTCTGCTCGGGAACACTTCGTGTTTACAGATACTGATGGACAAGTTTATCATTTGACAGTAGAAGGGAATTCTGTCAAAGACAGTGCAAGAATTCCTCCTGATGTAAGTTCAGTGCTATATTTCTAACTTTTTATTCCTTTTATAGATTTTTACAAAACGGCTTCCAACAACATACAGCAAAAAGTACCAATTCTTTTTTCTTTTTCTTTTTTTTTAAATAGTAAATTTTAAATAGTAAATACTATCATCTCGATCCCAGCATCTAAATATATATCCCTCTTTCTTATCCTTTCACTTCACAAGGTTATTCCAGACTCAGCCAGATTTCTGTCCGCAAACCTTGTCTTTTAAGGTATTCGTTTAGGCACTCCCATTCCTTTTTCACTACACTTTTTGGTTTTTGTCTTATTATATCTGTCAGTTTGGCTAACTCTTAAGTATTCTGAAAGCTTACATAACCATTCTCCCCTATCTCCCCTAGTGGATAACTGATTCCCTTTCCAGTACCGTATTTTTCCCTCTATAACACGCAGATTTTTTCTCCTAAAAAGGAAGGGGAAATGTCTGTGCGTGTTATAGAGCGAATGTGTGGTCCCTGGAGCCAAAAAATCAGGCAAAAATCAAATCGCGCTTCACGGAGAAGGGAAACCTGAAAAGAGGAAGAGGCTGCTTTCCTGCATTCTGCCTCAGGGTCTTACTGCCCACCCTTCTCTGTTTCGTTGCTGTGTTTGCTGAAACGGAACAAAGAGCAGGGAAAGCCCCTCCCCTCCAGGCAAGCAGAGTGTCGTTCTTTCTAATTCCTCTCTGTGCTCCGGTGCTGCTGGGGGAGAGGGAGAGAGAGTGGGGGAGGGAGAGGGAGAGGGAGAGGGGGGAGGGAGAGGGAGAGAGAGGGTGGGAGGGAGAGAGAGGGGGGGGAGGGAGAGAGAGAGAGAGAGAGAGAGATGGCTGGCTTGGGGGAAAACTTTTGCCTTTCTTTTCTCCCTCCCGTTAAATCCCTCTCCTGCATTCTTAGCCAGCTGCTTCTCTGCACACCCCTCTCATGTTCCTTCTTTGTTTTTCCTTCGCTCCCCACTTAAAATGTGGTTACAAAGCATGGATCCACAGGGATTCTCAGGATCTTTGCATTGGGTCACCCCAAATTCACCATCAGATCACATAGCATGTCCATGGCTACAGCCTGCACCCAAAAAATCACGCACCCACTGTTGCCTGGGGCTGCAATGGTGCAAAAACGTGGTTACAAAGCATGGATCCACAGGAATTCTCAGGATTTTTGCATTGGGTCACCCCAAATTCACCATCAGATCACATGTCTGTGGCCACAGCATGAAGCACAAAAATGATACATCCACTGTTTCATTCAGAATGTTTTTTCCCTTGTTTTCCTCCTCTAAAAACGATGTGCGTGTTATGGTCAGGTGCGTGTTATAGAGCGAAAAATACGGTACTTAGCCACCAGAATTCTTGCTTCAGACGTTGCGTATAAGAAAAATTTAGTTTTATCTTTTGGGACATCGTCGTTTAATATTCCTAAAAGGAATGTCTCTGGCCTTTTACTGTATGATATTCTTAGTATTTTCTTTATTTCTTCATGGATCATGCTCCAAAATTTCCCAATTTTAGAACTAAGGGTCATGCTTAGTATCACCGGAAAGAGCACTGAAGAATATAACAACTATTCTTGAGGTAAACATTGTTAGTTTGACCCAACGACTCCAGTAGCCATGTAATGACTCTGGTATGCACAAGGAACTCCATGCCAGTACGATTTGGAATCTATTACCTCCTGGCAGCAGAACTAAGAATACAAAATCTTCTGCTATGCTGTCCCAATGTCTCCGGTAGGATTACTTGTTAAAAACACTTCAGAATCTGCTTTCTTCCTTTGCCTTCAGATTAGTAGCATGCCTAAACACACACTCTTTAAGTCATAGTTATGCATATGAAATGCTGACCTCCTGTGGCCACATAAACAACTTTTCATTGCTGAAATGTTCTAAATTATAGCCCTTGGCCACGTCCCTGAAGCTACTCACATTTGACAAATTCCATCAACCTTTACCATCTCTACATGATTTGCAGCTTCACTGTCAGTTCTTAAATGTTTTCAAACAGAATATTTAGTTTTCTGGTTCTTTGCTTTCAAATCCAAGTAACAAAGGGAGCTTCTAAATTAACCCCAGAGGCTAGTTTCCTGCCTTACTGCCCATTTATTATTTGACCACTAAACAATTGTAAATCTGACATCAAGAACCCCATTTGTCTTCTAAAGTGCCTGGATTTTTCTAAGCAAGACATGAAGTCATCCTTGCAGTAGCACACCATGTGTAATTTTGCCGACAGGCATTTGTAGGCTAAATGATTGTTTGGCTTCCAAATGCCATCATGTCGCAGTAAAACTGATCCCCCTCTGTGATGGGATGATGAGCTGCTTGTGCGTAAAAGCGTAGTCCCTCAGAGTCTGTGCACGTTCACAAACCTCTGTCTGTGACGGAGCCCCTCAGACATGGCTGCTCTAGTCACTTGCAGATTCCGACAGTGGTTGCTTTCGGAATCGTTTCCAGCATAAAAGCTCCTTAACGGAAACACGTCTTCTGGACTCACGGCGTGACAGTTTCCGGCGAGGCGTGGGTCTCCCTATGGGAGCTTCAGATACCTCCCCACTGTTCTCGCTGGAAGCGTCTCTGAGCCCTCCCATAGAATCATAGAATCATAGAATCATAGAATCATAGAATCATAGAGTTGGAAGAGACCACAAGGGCCATCGAGTCCAACCCCCTGCCAAGCAGGAAACACCATCAGAGCACTCCTGACATATGGTTGTCAAGCCTCTGCTTAAAGACCTCCCTCCTGCTCGCATTCCCTCAGAGATCCACTCCTCCCCCGGCTGGTTCCTGCTTCAGCTGTTGAGTCTCTCCCAGCCTCCCTGAGCCCCTCCACCACCTGTTCCTCCGATGGCAGTTCCCTGACATCCACCTCCCCTGCAGGGCCCCCTTCACCCCCTCCCGTTTCCTCTCCTCTGGGAGGTGAGGAGGTAAAACCCCAAAAGGAATCTTCTTCATCTTCAGACGTCTCGAACATTTCCCTCCATCGGTCGCCGTCCCGGCTCGCTGAATCCTCCTCCTCCTCGGACTCTGTGAACCCCTCCAACTCCTCTTCTTCGTCGGTGGTGGCAAAGTATTCCCTCCGGAACCTCGCTACAGGCTGAAGCTTGCGTGGGAACCTCTGATGAAAAGTTTCTATTAAAACCTCGTCATTGACATCCTCTGCCCTGACCCAGGTGTTTTCCGACTCTGGTTCCCCTTCCCACATTACCAAATACTCTACTTGATCTCCCTTCCACCTGGAATCGAGGATCTCCGCTACATGGTAGCTTTGTTCCCTTTCCTCCATTGCTGGTCCCCGAGTGACCCTCCCTTCTCTGTCCCCTTTATACAGTGACAGCAATCACCTGTGGAAAACTGGGTGCAGCTTCATATGGTTCGGTAACCGGAGTCTGAAAGCCACTGGGTTGACCTGTTGTGTGATTTCAAATGGGCCCAATCTTTTGGGTCTTAACTTTTTACAACCCCCTTTGAAGGGTAACCCTTGGGTTGACAGCCACACTTGGTCCCCCACCCTAATGGTTTCACCTTCTCTCCTGTGTTTGTCTGCCTGCCTCTTATATTCCTCCTTGGCCCTGTCTAAGTTAAGTTGGAGCTGGCGATGGATCGCTTCCATTTCTTCTACGAACTGTTCGGCAGCTGGAACGCTCCATCTCTCCCCTTCCCCCCCTGGGAAAGCCCTGGGATGGCACCCGTAATTAGCCAAAAAGGGGCTCATCCCCGTGGACACGTTCTCCGCATTGTTGTAGGCAAATTCCGCCAATGCCAACTTCTCCACCCAATCATTCTCTCTGTCATTGACATAACACCTCAAATATTGCTGGAGGATGCCATTGGCTCTTTCCGCCTGCCCATTGGTCTCAGGATGCCGGGCAGTCGAGAAATTAACCTCTACCTGCAGTAAGCTCATGAGCTTCCTCCAGAACCTGGAAGTAAATTGTTTCCCTCGGTCAGAAACCACCCTCAAGGGGGCGCCATGCAACCTAAACACATTTTCTACAAACAATTTAGCTGTTTCTTCTGCCGTGACAGCATGTGAGCAGGCTATAAAGTGTGCCATTTTGGTTAACAGGTCTACCACAACCATGATGGCTGTTTTCCCTCTGGACCTTGGCAGATCAGTCATAAAATCTATGGCCACTGCTTCCCATGGTCTTTCTGGTGTGGGTAGCGGTTCTAATAACCCTGCCGGCGCCCGCCTTTCCCCTTTGGCTCGCTGGCATTGGTCACAACTCCTCACATACTCCCGCACGTCTTCCCTGACCTTGGGCCACCAAAATTCCCTGGTCACCAGCCACATGGTTCTGTGTTGCCCAAAATGCCCCGCTGTGGGGCTATCGTGCAGCTGCTTGAGTACCTTCCCCCTCAACTCTCCTTCAGGTATATATAACGCTCCCTTGTAGTACAACGCCCCGTTTCTCTCCTCAAAACCTCCGGGTTTATCTCCCTCCCTCCTGAGTCCCCTGAGTTTGTCCTGGGCGTATTCATCATTCTCCGTTCCCTCTACCAGTTCTCTTTGCCCCACCAATGCCGCCCCACACACCCAGCGGTCCTCTGGAATGACATGTCTTTCTTCGGGTGCTCCCTCCCCCTCCAAATATTCAGGTTTGCGTGAGAGAGCGTCCGCCCTAACGTTCTCTGGGCCTGGCACGTAACGAATCTCAAAGTTAAATTTGGAGAACTCCTGGGCCCACCTCAACTGCCGTTGGTTGAGCACTCGTGCCGTTCTCCAATACTCTAGGTTCTTGTGGTCAGTGCACACTTGCACCTTATGTTGTGCGCCAATTAGCAGGTGCCTCCATCTCCGAAAAGCCTCATGAATAGCAAGAAGTTCTCGATCGTACACCATGTAGTTCCTCTCGGATTTGTTCAGCTTTCGCGAGAAAAAAGCACACGGCCTCCACTCTGACTCCTCCTTCCCTGGCTGCAGAAGAAGCACCGCCCCTATGGCTCTGTCTGATGCGTCCGTTTCGACTCTCATCTTTTTTTGTAAATCCACATGCAGAAGTTGTTCTTCAGAGGCGAAGGCCCTTTTTAGCTCCTCAAAAGCTCGCTCCGCCTCCTCAGTCCAAACGAATTTCTTCTTACTGCTGAGACAGTCCGTAATGGGCGCCGTCAGGTGGGCAAAGTTTCGGATGAACTTACGATAAAAGTTCCCAAACCCTAGGAACCTCTGCACATCCTTCTTTGTTTTGGGTGTTTTCCATTCCAGCACTGCCTGGACCTTGCCGGGATCCATGGCCAATCCCTTGTCTGACAGGCGGTACCCCAGGAACTCCACCTCCTTGGTATGAAACTGACACTTCTCCAGTTTCACCCACAGCCGGTTGGCTAGCAGCCTGCTCAACACTTCTCTGACGTCTCTTACATGTTGCTCCTCATTCTCAGAATACACCAACACGTCATCTAGGAAGGCCACACAATTCTTGTAAAGCAAAGGCCCTAGTACGTGGTTCATCAGCGATTGAAAGCACGCCGAGCCTGCTTGTAATCCAAATGGCATAACGAGATATTCAAATGCCCCCAAAGGGGTGAACATGGTGGTTTTCCATTCATCCCCTTTCCTTATACGTATCAGGTTGTACGCCCCCCTTAGGTCCAGCTTTGTAAAAATCTTTCCCTTCCGCACCCTGCTCAAAATGTCATCAATCCTGGGCATGGGGAAAGCCAGGGGCTCTGACACTGCGTTCAGGGCCCTAAAGTCACACACAAGTCTCGGCTTGTCCGTGTTTTTTTTATCCACAAAAAACACTGGGCTACCTCCCACCGCTCTTGACTCTCTGATGAAACCTCTCTTCAGGTTTTTGTCAATAAACTCTCTTAGCACCTGTATCTCTCTGTCTGACATGGCATACAACTTGCCTACAGGGAGCTGTGCCCCAGGCAGTAAATTGATTTGACAATCAAAGGGTCTATGCGGTGGTAATTGGTCAGCTTCCCTTTCGCTGAACACGTCGCTGAGATCTGCATATTGTCATGGTACCTTCACTTTCTCCGTTACTTCCGTCCCTGCTAGGGTAGCTTGGGCTCCTGCTGAACCCTTTCCCTCCTTGCAGTGTTCTAAGCAATGTGCGGAGCCAAAGGAAACCACTCTCTGATGCCAGCCCACCAGCGGATCATGTAACGCCAGCCAGCTCATCCCCAAAATAATGGGAGCCCCTCCCAAGGTGGCCACATTAAACGCTATCAGTTCTGTGTGCCTTGCCACCTTCATTATCATTGGGACGGTCTGCAAGCTGACTTCTCCTCCCAACAGTTCCCTGCCATCGATCGTGGTCACCTGCAGGGGATTGCTTAAAGGGATCATCCGTATCTGGTGTTCAGCTGCAAACTCTTTGCTCATGAAATTGCAGGAGCTGCCTGAGTCCAACAGCGCCTTTATCTTTAGAGGGTATCCGTTTTGCAACTCTAGTGACACTTCTATCACTAGGGCAGGTTTAGGAGGTTCTGGCGTGGGCACTTTCACTGCTCTTTGGCCTGGCTGCTGTGCCCCGACGGTGGCAGCCAGGCGTTGGCTTTTACTTGCTCCGGTATTTCCTCCACTCCTCCCTCCACAGCCCCCACCATCCCTTGCCATTCCTTCCTCTGGGGGCATACTCTGGCAAAGTGACCTGGCTGTTGGCAGAGATAGCATTTCCGGGCGCCTTTTCCCTCCTTCTTCCCCCCTTCACTGGGCTTTGAAACTGCGCGCGCGCGCGCTGTTCCAATTTCCATCGGCTCTGCCGGCGGGAAAGCTGGCTCTGGAATGTCTGGAATGCGGAACTCCTTGCAACGTTCCCCCTCCCCTTCCCGCCTCTCCAAAGCTCTCGCCTCCTGGCGCGCTCCTATGGTCAGCGCAGATTTGGTTAGCTGATCCATAGAATCCGCCCTGGGCCCCCGGGAAAGCTCATCCTTCACCGCCGAAGCAAGACCTTCTTCAAAAAGCATTTGAATGGGTTCCGCCGATAAGTCCCACCCCAATCTGTGCACCAGCATGGTGAATTCAGTCCAGTACTCACGGACAGATCGGCTTCCCTGCTTGCAAGCCATTAGCTGTCTGCGCACCACTCTCTTCTCAATATCGCTGGAAAACATGAGATCCATTGCACGAAAGAACTTCATTGTGTCCTTTAGGATGTCATTATGCGTTGCCATCAGGGGCCGAACCCAGTCCCGCGCCCCCTTTTCAAGATGCCCAATCACGAAAGCCACTCGCGATTCCTCGTCAGGGAATTCCTCAAACTGCACATTGAGAGCATATTGCATCTCTGTTCTAAAGGCATGGTAGTCCTTGGGGTCCCCCCCAAACTTCTGCACCAATCCTGGTACCTTTCTGGTGAACTGGGTGGTTTTCCCCTTCTTGTCTGCATCCTGCGCCCTTCTCTCCTCAAGCCTCGCCGTCTGCAGCGCCAGTTGGATCTCCAACGCTCGGTACCTTTCTTCCAAGCTTGGACCAGCTCCAACCCCTGCTCCTCCGGTTCCGGCTGGGTCACTCATGATGCCTTTTCCTGCACCAGCAGCTTACAAAGACTGTCGGAATGCTGTGATGGGATGATGAGCTGCTTGTGCGTAAAAGCGTAGTCCCTCAGAGTCTGTGCACGTTCACAAACCTCTGTCTGTGACGGAGCCCCTCAGACATGGCTGCTCTAGTCACTTGCAGATTCCGACAGTGGTTGCTTTCGGAATCGTTTCCAGCATAAAAGCTCCTTAACGGAAACACGTCTTCTGGACTCACGGCGTGACAGTTTCCGGCGAGGCGTGGGTCTCCCTATGGGAGCTTCAGATACCTCCCCACTGTTCTCGCTGGAAGCGTCTCTGAGCCCTCCCTCCTGCTCGCATTCCCTCAGAGATCCACTCCTCCCCCGGCTGGTTCCTGCTTCAGCTGTTGAGTCTCTCCCAGCCTCCCTGAGCCCCTCCACCACCTGTTCCTCCGATGGCAGTTCCCTGACACCCTCTTTCAGGGGAGATGAATCGTGCCACAAAAGAGGACATTCTTGGCCCAGCTCAACATTTCACTCTGAAAGTCTTCATTTGTTCTTTTTCATTGCTTTAAGGCTTTACAAATCTTTTAGTTTAGCTTTTCTCATGTGGTGTTGCCCTCCTTTATATAGGTCAGCAATCAAGATATTTTAAAAATCCTTCTGTTCAAACTGTCAGGATGTCTGTTTTCAGATAATGTGACAGCTATCACAAAGAGTGACCTGCTGTTATAAATCCAGCCTCCGATGGCTTTAGAAATATGTCAGATTATGGACCGGGGAGATGAAGAATAATAATGGCAAAACTCCTGTATTTTGTGGGGTTTTTTTCTTTGGGGTTTAGTAGAAAATTATCTGTTACAAATATAGATGTAATATATAAATGTTGAAGCTACTTCAACAACCTTTGAATGTCATTGGTAAAGGGAGGGGGTTATTCAAATGATAAATAATCTATTTTACATTCTGTATGGATAATGGTTTGTGTCTGTGCAGAGGCATACATATAATTAGAGAGCATACATGTTCTGCTATTTTCAAATCACTTAACATCAGTGGATTCTTAAGTGCATTTACTTGATTGTGTGTAGATACGTCTTCATTTTTGTATTATGTGCAGTATAGTGCTAAACAAATAAATAAATTGTGGTTCACGAGTAGTTTAAGGGTCAGAACCTGGCTCTCTGTTTTTCATCTCCGAGCTACATTATAAAATAGTTCATCTAAGCAAGTAGATTTGTCAGGGAGGACCTTTTATTCAGTTATAGGATTAAAAGAAAAGGTAACTGAGGTTGACTGCATATTCAACCTTGGCTTCTCTCTTCCCTAAAGCAAACATACAGTTGCTTCCCCATTGATCCTTTTATTGACATTTGTGCTTTAGCATTTGGAAGCTTTCATTTTCAAACGAAGGAGGAAAAAAACCACAACTCTACAGTGTAGTACACATATTCCTGAGCTTTCAAAATATAATATTAAAAAAATAAGATTCTGGCCTCAAAACTATATTAATGTTGTTTTTAGTGGCCTCTCTTGTATCAACAATGGAAGAATTTGACTTACTCTTTTTTGGTATGAGGTCAAAATACTCAGCATGAGTTGGCACAACATCACAAAGGCTAGAAATTAACCACATAGTTGATAATAAAAAAGCAAGTACAAGTTCGCATATTATGGCTTACATCCTAAAGCAAATTTGTTTAAGAAAGTTCACAGAAGAAAAGTTTTCCATCTCTTGCAGCCACTTGCATGCTACTCCCACAAGCCTCTTCAGACAGTTGTGCAACCCTTACGGTCAATTTGAGTGAGTTCGGGGCAGTTTGGAATGATTCCCACATCCCCCAGCATCCATGCTGGATCCTACAATGATCAGAAGAGCCTTCTCACCCTCCGAAGAGGCTTTGCAACAGGGAGCAGGAAGAGTCTGCAGAAGAGACACTCCTTCCACGAACTTTCTTAAGCTAACTTAATTTGGAATGCAATTTGGAATGTTTTACAAATGATTGATTGGTTTATACTGCCACTTATGCCTATTTTGTGTAGTTTCTGTTTCACAGCTTTAATCTCTGCTTTTTAAAACTTTGCAGGGAAGCATGGGCAGCATAACATGCATCGCGTGGAAAGGAGATATCTTGGTCCTGGGAGATGTTGATGGAAATTTGAACTTTTGGGACTTAAAAGCCAGAGTATCCAGGTAGTGATCTGTTAAACAACAACTACAAAACAGACCCCTCCAATGAAGCCTAATTTACACATGACTCGAGTGATTGCCCCCCAAAAAGTCAGAGATTGAGGTTTGGAAAGTCATTTTCTGTGAATCAACAATCCCGTCGTGAGAAACTGCCCAGGAAAGCTCCTCTACACATATACCTCCAGAACCTTCCTGACATTTCTGGAAAATGCCCAAACCACAAGGGTTATGTTTCACAAAAATGGCTAACCATGCACACACGTAGGAGTTCAGTGCTGTATTTACTTCTTGCTGGCAACTACTCTACCAAGTAATAGAGAAAGTGGATCTAATTCATAGCATGTGTTTGAAATAATTCTAAATTTTGTCACAAAACCAGGTCAGACCCAAGTTGTCTATGAGCACACTAGCTGTACAGCTTTCTTTTTACAAAATACGGTCCAGAAGGATTGCCACACAAATACTGGGATTGTGTACGTAATAAACTGACATGATGCTGTTGCTATAGTGATGCTTCCTGCGGTGGTTTTAGGGTGGCACAACTAGTGTGGCAGCACAGGTGCTGTGCTGCAGGGACCCCCGCAACAATACTGCAGAATGGAGTGAGAGAGGTTGGAGGGGGTGCATCAAATTTTAGCATCACACAGGGTGCTGCTGAAATTTAAGAGCCCAAAGCCCACCACTGATGCTTCACTAGTTTGCTATAATCAAAATAAGAATATCTGTAGAGGGGCGAAGTGGTGGTTTAGATGACAAGTTCTCCTTATGATTCCATTTAGATGGAATACTTCCATTTAGATGGTCTCAGAAGTTTAGTTCTTCAGTCTGTCCTGGTAAACTCAAGGGGAAAATGTACTATTTGTGTCCTACCTTTTCCTTTCCAGAGGCATCCCCACACACCGGGGCTGGGTGAGGAAGATACGCTTCGCCCCTGGAAAAGGAAACCAAAAGCTAATAGCAATGTACAATGATGGAGCTGAAGTTTGGGACACAAAGGAGGTCAGTACCAATTTCGCTTTACTTTTCTGAATTGGTTCTAAACAGCAAGCATAAAATGATGCTTACTTGTGTCACAAAGGAGATTTAACTTTTCTTGGCTCTTTCAAACTGCTACCAGCTGCTTAGTTGGTTTTGCCTAGATTTTTCGGCCATTAAAGTGTTGCTAAACTAATTGGGTGAAATCCAACATCAGTCATACGCCAAGCAGAGCCACTGAAATCAATGGACTTGAGTGATTGTTTTATTGTGTTTATTATTTATCACAGATGCATTTGCTGCCCTGGGCTCCTTTGTGAAAAAGTGTGGGATATATATTTACTTGAATAAATCAGTCCATCAATTTCAGTGTATTTAATTTGTCTGATTTTCAGACCAAAGGCTCTTGGAAGTTAAATACATTCCACGTAGAAATACAACCAAGCATGACAACGACAGTTATTGAATGATGGCTTGCCCTTGTTTTTTCAGTACTAGAGTTTTGCTTAACAGGCAATGTGCCCTGTTCAGACACATCACTACCATCTTGACTAGATTTAATTGAATAGAGAAGCTTCAAATTCAACCACAAGGGTGGAAGGGAGAACCAAGTATTACTAATTACAGTTGAATGTAATGTGTGGTGTTAAATTTAATTTTTTTAGATGTTTATAAAACAAAAGGAACCCAGTAATATTTGCAATAAGGACTGACAGAAGTAAAGTGGAAAATATTTAAAACATTTATGAAGTATTCACATTTTGTAGACTGTCACAGTAATGCTGCCACATATTAGCTGGCAGGCTTTTACATTTTAAATTTTGTTTTATATAATTGACTCTAAAGGACAGCCTTTCTCCCTTGCCTGATTATATTGCTGAGAATCATGGAAACAAAACATAATTTCACTGTGTCTGTACATGGAAAGGGAGACCACTTGGTGTTCTAAAGCTAAAATATGTTGCATTTTTTTTCAGGTGCAGATGGTGAACAGCTTAAGAACTGGAAGAAATGTCAATTTTAGAGTACTTGATGTTGACTGGTGTACTTCTGACAAAGTGATCTTAGCATCAGATGATGGCTGCATCAGAGTGCTAGAGATGACAATGAAATCAGCATGTTTTAGAATGGATGAGCAAGAGCTAACAGGTATGGACAAAGGCCAAGCAAATGCAGCTCAGTTCTTTATTAGATTGCATTCATTTGGCACATGAAGTGATCGACAGAGGAGTGTTCCCTGTTCAAATAGCCAGAGGATGAGATAGATGCATATATATTTTTTTACCAGGATTGTGGAGTCAGAAGAACTGAAATGTTCTTGACTTCAGGCAGGAAGCTACCACTAGCAGTTTTCCTGCCAGTGGTAGCAGCAAAGGCTCCAAAACTGAGTGTTCACAAGAATATTAATGTTACAATATATCTGCCTTAAATGATTACTGTACTTCATAACAGGACTTCAGAATGAAATGAAGAATGTTTCTTTGTTGACTATGTATTCTACCTTTTAAAATTATTATTAAAAAATAATTGGCCCATTCTGAGGTCCTTTCTCTGGTTTACTATCGAAAAGGCCAGAATTCCGCCAGCGTGTGCTTTGAAATCTGTCTCATTTACTTGTTTAGACATTGCACTGTACAAGAGTTTAATCATTGTACTTTGCCGATTACTCAATATTTTTGTTATTAGTATCGTGACAGGGCACTTTCCTAAAGATACTTATACACAGATGTGTATGCAAGCTCCATGTTTAAAATAAATTGCCATCTTCTATTCAGCAGATTCAAGAGGTATTTCAGTCCATATTTTTTGAAAAATTATACTTCTTGGGTATGTGTTGGAGTACATCATTAATACTCTTTGCAGTGTAAAATAATGATGCTTCCCGTGTTCTGCTATTTTATTAGACTGCCAGTGTGATTTTTAATAATAATAATAATAATAATAATAATAATAATAATAATAATAATATCTATTACTATTCACGGTCTTGCATTTTGAGTCAGATTCAGATTTTCTGTTGTATATTTACTATCAGATATCCCCTGGAAACACAGGCACTTCTGTGAAATAGCTTGTGCTGTTTCTGCAGAATGCATCTTTCCCCTCCATGCTCCTGTCTTTTCATGAGCCACTTTATAATTCCTCTAGTGCTATCTAACTATAAGTATATCCACTTGGTTTTTTTCATCACTGCTCAGATCTTTATTTAAATTATGGTTAATGCCCTAGAACCAGAGCAGCAGAACTATATGATTCCAAGGAAAAATTACACTTTGGAGCTCCTATGTACTATTGAGAAATAATCTGCCTCAAATCTGTGCTGGACTTTGTTAAGCCATGCCCCTAAACTATGCATTTATTTCTTTAACAAAAATTTGATGGAGGAGATCCAAACCAGTTACCTTTTCAGATCAGTTTTTGAAACCCAGACTGCAGTATGCTTGCAAGCCAAATATTTCCAGTGAAGCTAAGCACTGACAACCACGATTAAAAGAGAAAACCTGTCTCCTAACCCTTGGTCATGATTCCCAGGGTATGCACTCAAAATCACACCCGTCCATATTACGGTCTGTGCAATGGCAACAATTCTGGGGACTGCAGTTCTTTCTGGAACACTGTAAAGAAAACAAGCCTTCTCATACTCCATTGCAGATGCACTGTAAGCATGCACAGATCCCAAGTTCTTTAATATCAGATTGACTAACAAGAGATTTTCTTTCTTTTTTCTCCCTTTTTTTGTTTCTAGAACCTGTGTGGTGCCCATATCTACTTGTTCCACGAGCTTCCTTAGCATTGAAAGCATTTTTGCTACACCAACCGTGGAACAATAAATACTCTCTTGATATTTCACATATGTAAGTCTAATATATATTATTATATTGAAATGCCTGCTTTTTATAAAATGGCAATGTGCCCACTAACTGTTTAGGGGTATGTGGGTGGGTAATAAAACCCAACTACTTTCCATTTAAATACTTGAATTTTACCCATCTAGAAGTGATAGTTAAACATCATTTTAGTGTATCCATCCATGGGCAAAGTATATTCTCTCCTGTTCATGCATGAATAATCCACTGGTTCCTTGAATACATTCACATATAGAGCTTCAATGTATTGAAGTACAAATAAATGCAATTTGGTTCGATTTGGAATAGCCCTAAGAAGTGCTAATGACTGCAGAGTTGGGATTTCTGAGCATCCATTTATCCCTTTACATGAGTAGAGTGCTCATAACATTTCACTAAATGGGAAAACCATTCCATTCACTGGAGTCCTTGGTTGACAGATATGGATGTTTTCAGAGAAGGTGACTCACAGTCCGGACTTGAAATGGAGAAAAGTGCCCAGAGTGACTCTGGGACATCTTGTCAGCATCTAAACACTGATCCAGACCGGAGAGAAACCCACTTATTTCAACTTCGATTGCTCTTGATTATTTTTGATTTGATTATTTAATTTCTATACCGCTTAATATATTAAAATATATCTAAGTAGTATACAAAACACTGAAGAAACATCAGACAACTTAAACAAAATATTACAAAAATCCATGGTTCCATATAAACATGTTACAATGCAAAGTAATATGCCGTACTTTTTGCTCTATAAGACGCACCAGACCACAAGACGTACCTAGTTTTTGGAGGAGGAAAACAAGAAAAAAAATATTCTGAATCTCAGAAGCCAGTGAAAGCAGCAATCCCTCTTGCTGTTCTGGCTTCTGGGATAGCTGCGCAGCCTGCATTCGCTCCATAAGACGCACACACATTTCCCCTTACTTTTTAGGAGGGAAAAATGAGTCTTATAGAGCAAAAAAATACGGTATATAAATCAATATCAATTCATTTTCCTTCTGACACACCCTCCCTCTGCGTTCTCACCCAGCATCCAAACAAACTTGGCTCACCCAGAAAAGTTTCACAACGAGAGGAGTTCCTAGAAACAGCAGACAGCACTCTAGTTTCTCACTCTAGACCATGCTTTTTTCTTCCTTTGGCTCTTCTGAACTGTGAGCACGGTGCAGGATGTGCAGGCTTCTGCAGCATGTGCCATGCTCTTCATCAGATTGGGATGTTTCATCTGAGACTGTAGATATTTGTCTATTAAATCAAATGTTTGCTTTGCAGAAATTATCCAGAGAATGAAAATGTTAAAAATCTGCTACAGGAACAGTTGAACTCACTGTCAAAGTAAGCATATTTCAGCATATTGTGTTATGCTACTAAAATGCATTAACATCGTTTTCTTTTGAGTTCTCCTGTTTCTCTCTGATATGCATCTTGAGAGATATTAATGTGGCAGTAATCTTCAAGTTCATATTTCTTATCAGATCTAGTCACACTGTTAACTTCAAACCTATATAGACTGAAATCCTATACATGCTAGCCTCAGAATAACTACCATTCAGTTTAATGGAGTTTCTTCTGAGTAGTGTATAAGACTGCATGGCAGACAAGGAAACTTTTAGAACAGTTTTATATTTTTACTTTTTGTGTTAGTACCACTACTGGCAGTCATATTGATCTGGAAGCCAAATTAATGTTACGGATTGACAAAATAGTTTAGTGTGATTCAGAATCCGTGCTGGCACATACTACATGCACTTAAATACAGTTTTAATCCATGACTCAGCTTTATCACGTCCAAAATTTGCCATACGTTTCAAGCTTACTTTTTCTTTAAAAATCCACAACATCCCCTTAATAATAAATGTTTCCGCAAAATACTGGAGGGGCTATGGGAACATATTTTCATATATGCCAAGAATATAATACCATTAATGGGTTCTGGCGGCAAACCATTGATGAAATTATGCCCTAGAATTTTGTACTTGCAGCTAAATCAGCAGTGTAATGTCTTTTTAGACAGCCATCCTTTTGTCTTGCTAGCAGCAATACTAGAAATAGCATACCAGCAGGAGAATCTCATTGGGATTCTAGTGCAGTAAAACACTGATATTGACAAGCATACAAACAGCTCCATGCTTCTAATTGAATGGCTATGAATCACTAATTAAAGAGTACAAATTATCTGATTTGTAAATGAGTCATTGGTTGAATGGTTTTGTAAAAGATGGATGTCATTTTGTATAAATAAATCCTGTAATAGTGATATACTGACTCTATATGAACACAGAAAGCTGCCTTATACAGAGTCAGATTATCGTTCCCCCTAGTTCCATATTGCCTACACTGACTGGCAGCAGCTCTCCAGGATTTTAGATAGGAGTTTTTTCCAATCCTACCTAGAGATAACAGGGATTGAACCTGGGACTTTTTGCATACAAAGCTCCCTGTCAAGTTTCAGTGGTTATAATTTGTATGTTAACCTTTTTCCTTTTTATAAAAATGTGTGGAAAATGGTTTCCTTTAAAGTAAAAACAACCACCACCTGCAGTATCTAGGTTGATGCACATAATGTGTCTGAATGTGTTTCATAGCAAGATATGAAACTATAAACTATAAATTATCTTTTCTTAGTGACATCAGGAAACTTTTGCTTGATCCAGAGTTCACCCTCTTGCAACGATGTCTGTTGGTTTCAAGGTAAGAGAGAACTTAAGTCAAAAGCACAATCCCTGTTTTGCAAGTAATTTGTCTGTAGTCCTTAGCTTGGTGACCGGTATTTTTGTTTAAAATCAATAGGGCATGCTTTCTGTAACAGAATCAGCATCCCTGTATAAATGATAGGTGCAAAGGGGTGTGTTTCTAATAAAAAATTCATTTGAAGTTCTGTATTTGATGGTGTTATCTATAAAGTTATGTACAGTAAAAGCCTTTCAGTCTTTAACTACCTGTCAAATCACCTTTAACCCTTTTTGTGTGACTGCATATATTTACTTGTGCAAGATACATCGTCTGGAAAGCATGCATCAAGGTTTGGGACTTGCCATGTCAGAATGCTGGAATGAGATTGTGTGTCTGAACATTCTTGCCTGTAGAAAACCAGGATGTTAATTTAATTTTCTGTACATGTGGGGAAATAGTAGAAAGGACCATCTGTAGAAGCCAAAGGAGGCTTGCCCATTCAAGCTAACAGGGCACTGCTCCACCAACCTCAAACTGCTCTCAGTCAGCCTCCACCTGCCCACCTTCCTATTTACAACCAGTCCAGGGAGAATCACTGCATGGTGTTGTCCCTCTGGAACTCAGCAGGGAGGAAGTTGGAGGCAAGTAGAATTAGTTGGCTCCACTTGTCATTGGTTCTCGCTCTACTTACTGATGGACTCACTGTCTTCTGCCCTGCTAGCTGCAGCGGGCACCAGCCACCATTGGTAGCATCATAATCCCAAGTGGGCTATATTGCTGCTCTTTGTCATTACATAGCAATTAGCATATGAAGAGCACTGCTAGATCAGACCAAAGTTATAGCCAGTCCATCATCCTGTTATTACAGTGACCAATTAGATTCCTATGGGAAGTCCACAAGCAGGACATGAGTGCAAAAGTGTTGTATTTGCAGAGTCCTGAACACAGCGGAAGGATGAGGAGTACGTGCCACATGCTTAAATTTTGCTTTATTTACACTTCAATACTGAGAGATTACAAACATGCATCTTGCCTCTGCGAGAGCAGAGAAGCAACCTCCTTCTCCTCGGAGCACCGAGAGAAAAGAGACAAACAGGAAACCAGTGTACGTCACATCCAGTCTCCCGTTCCCGTGGGAAACCCAACAGTACTCTGACTGTGGAATGCAAAACATTGTCCCGTGACAAGCACTTCGCTGCACAGTGAAGAGAGCAGAAACCAACAGCAAAAGTGCCCTCCCCACTTCAGATCCCTAGCAGTTGGTATTTAGAGGCATAATCCCTTCGATACAGCTATCCTAATTAGTAGACACTGATAGTCATATTCTCCCTGAATTTGCCTAATCTCCTTTTAAAGCTGTCCAAGTTAGTGGTCATTGCTTCTATGATATGCAGTAAATTTTACAGCTTGGATATGCACTGTGCGATGAAGTGCAACCTTTTGTTTGTCCTGAATCTTCCAACATTCAGTTTCATTGTATGAACCTTGGATAGGAAGGAAAACTTCTGTCTGCTTCTCCATACCATGATTTATTTTGTACACTTTTTACATGCTGTCGTTCTCAACTAAAAATCCCCACTGTTGTGACCTTTCCTCATGGGGAAGATTGTACAGTGCAGAACCGTGTGGTGTAGCGGTTAAAGTATTGGACTAGTATCTGGGAGACCAGGTTTCAAATCCCCATTCAAGCCATGAAGCTCACCTTGGAGCAGTCATCACTCTCAGCCTAACCTAGCTCCCAAGGTTGTGAGGATAAAATGGGGAGAAGTATGTACTCCGCTTTGAGGAAAATGGGTTATATATGTGATAAATAAATTGCCTATTTTCTGCATTACTTCTTTGTGTTGCTGATGATGAATATAATGACAGTCATTTTATTTTGCCAGGCTGTATGGAGATGAATCTGAACTGCATTTCTGGACTGCTGCCGCCCATTATTTGCATACTTTTTCCCGGGGGAAACCATTAACTGTAAAAGCAGAAGACACAATGATTCCTCAAGGAAAATGGATCAGTCCACTAGATATATGTTATGATATACTGTGTGAAAATTCCTATTTCCAGGTATTGCAAGATTTTAAAACTAAGTCAAATCTCTTTGACATAAAGGCTTTTCTCTTATTCAGAGCTTTTATATTTAAGAGCATGTCTTATTGTTTTTGTTATTCATGCACCAAAATATTTAATTATGTGGTTTTTTTTAAAGCAATTATACTGCTTGGTTATAATAAAATCTCTAAGTGGTTTACAAGGAATGTAAATAGATATACAGCACGGTTCAATGTTTGTTGAATTTAGAGAACATTGGTCACTGATCACAGTAGAAATAGTATTTATTTTTTATTTTGCATTTATAGCTACATTGCCCCATAGCCTGTGGCCTGATTTATACCAATTCTGCTCTAAAGACTAGGTGAATTACCATCAAGAGGTTCACTGGTCTTTGTTGTGAATTTGAGGAGCTTTCAGAAACAGTGGAGTTAACTCAAATATTCCTGTCTCCTATTGTACAAATGGGTTAAATTTCCAATAACTTAACTTCAATGTCAGGCAAACCCACAGCCTATTGTCAATCATAGACCCAAAGTGATGCAACCTAAATGCCTGGATTCATTGGTGGTGTTGTCTCATATGTCTTGTTGTCTGAAAAATCATACTCACTTTCTTAATCACTTGATTATTTGCAGAAATTCCAGCTTGAAAGGGTCAATCTCCAAGAAGTTAAGAGATCAAATTACGACCACACCAAAAAATGCACTGACCAGCTGCTGCTTTTGGGCCAGGTTTGTGGCACCTAGCTTAGACTTTCTACAGTTGTTCAGTTTATTAGCAGGCTATGAATAAATGAGCGAAACATTGACATTAGGCATCGCTACAATGTAATTTTTGTTTTCTTAAAAAAAAAAGTTCTCAAACTTGTGTGGTGGGTTAGGTATTTCTGAGTGTAAATGAACCATTGAAAGCTGCCTAATGTTTTGTTTTCTCTCTTTCCTAGACTGACAGAGCTGTGCAGTTGCTTCTGGAGACAAGTTCCGAGAATCCCTATTACTACTGTGATTCCTTAAAGGCATGTCTGGTCACAACAGTCACTTCCTCAGGTCCTTCCCAAAGTACTATTAAATTGGTAGCGACCAACATGATTGCAAATGGAAAGCTGGCAGGTGAACTGTTTGTTCTGTTTCTTGAGCCCAAAATAATTACTGAACTGACTTAGGGGTCATGGGGGGAGAGGAGAGGGAGGGCAAGTTCCTTTGTGCAGCCAAAAGCAGCACTTAGTTGGATACCGCTCCCAGTTTTGAGTGCCGCTAGACACTTGCAAAATTGCCTGCACCATATTTAGCTAGGATAAAGTTCAGCTGATTTTATGCTGTGCAGGGACTGCCTTCGTAGATAAAAACCGGCGTATCTATACTTTTTTGTGCTAATGAAGCATTAAAAGAAGGGGGATAATAGAGTTAGGAAATCAGGCCTGAGTGCTTACTGGAAGGACAGATCCTGAAGCTGAGGCTCCGATACTTTGGCCACCTCATGAGAAGAGAAGACTCCCTGGAAAAGACCCTGATGTTGGGAAAGATGGAGGGCACAAGGAGAAGGGGACGACAGAGGATGAGATGGTTGGACAGTGTTCTCAAAGCTACCAGCATGAGTTTGACCAAACTGCGGGAGGCAGTGGAAGACATGAGTGCCTGGCGTGCTCTGGTCCATGGGGTCACGAAGAGTTGGACACGACTAAACAACAACAATAGAGTTAGGTGCAAACACGGCACTGCAACTGAATGGTTTCTTTGAGCTCTTGGAAAGTTTCTTTGGGCTCTTTTAAGTGTCTTTCTACAGGGTAGAAGTAAATGTTTGTAAGTAATGAAATTTGGGTCAGAGGAAAATTGGGCTGCTTGCACTCTCCAGGTAGAAATACTCACAATCTATTTGATATTCTCTGTGTTTTTAATTTGTGATTTGTTAAGCTCAGACAACTTCTTTTTCAGAGGGGGTCCAGTTACTGTGTTTAATAGATAAAGCTGCTGATGCCTGTCGTTACCTGCAGACCTACGGTGAATGGAATCGAGCAGCATGGCTTGCAAAAGTAGGCCGTTTTTCTCAGTCTATCCTGTATGAGTTGCTCCTTGCTAATAAATGTTTAAAGCTGGCACACTCTTAGTTCACTCACAGGAGGATGAGGGATTCGCAGCTTCAGTGTTTTTAACTCTTGGAGGAGGTAAATTTCACACATGCACATTTTGATGACAGCCTGGAAACATCACACTGAAGACTGTTCAGTTTTAGCGATACACATCAAAGAGAGTATTACAGACTTCTGAATGGAAGCAACCAACATTGGGATGGCAGGGGGAGGCTGTTAGCCAATTCCAAGGGAGAAGAGTTGTTTAACCAGAATCATTGCCTTTGGAATTGAGCTGTCTGACGAGTTGTTTTTCCTCATAATACTGCCAGGTGAGTTCTGCCCATGTCTCCTGATTGGAAACTCACAGATCTCCAGAATTATTATTAAAAATAATAATAATAATGCAGTTCAGGCCCAGCTTTTACTTCCAGGTTCTTACTTTTGCCTCCCCAGCTGGTCTTCCTTCACAGTCTCCTTCTGACCTTATGTTACTCTTTGCCTCCAGTTCCTATGGTCTCTCAAGCTCCCTTGTGCTCTTTATTGTGGTCAGACATTTCCCTGACCTTGCCTCTTGTGATGATGTTATTGTTGCTTTCCGCTAGTCCACTTCCTATGCTTAACTGGAACCCTCTTGCTTTTGGGGAAAGACATTTCCACTCAAGGTTCTTGGCAGGACCTGACCTTGGAATTTGTGGTGGGAACACTGGGGCTTTCTGCAGGATGTTCACCAAAACAATTGTGTGGATACAAATTTATAAGAATGCACTCCAGCCCCAAATGTTGTTTTCCAAAAACCTTTTTTAAAAGCTTCCATCCAAAGGAGAGGCAATATAACTGGTATGCAGTATTCTGTATATTTTTGTACCTTATTGCGCTGCTTCTTGGCTTCTAAAATGGCTTCAAATATTTCTAATCTGTCGCAGGTTCGTCTGAATCCAGAGGAGTGTGCTGATGTCTTCAAGCGTTGGGTTGATCACCTTTGTTCTCCACAAATCAATCAGAAATCCAAGGCCATCCTCGTCCTCCTTTCCCTGGGTTGCTTCGTGAGAGTTGCAGAGATGTTGCACAGGTCAAATGAGGCATTTTTTCTTTGCTTTGCTTATTTGAGAATTTACTAGGCATTCCTCAATAGATGTATATACTCAGTGGCATACGTAAAAATACAGTTGTTACAATTTTTGAGGTCAACAGCAGGACCATATATACAAACAGAGGAAAACCAAAAGTCGAAAAGACGCACATCCAATTGAGAATTAAAACAGCAATTATACCTAAAAGGCATATCTGAATAAGCAGAATAAGTTCAAATGCATGTGTTTTCTCTGAGAGAGAACATCTTAATTTTTCAGTAAGTAATCTGATTGGGCTCCAATCCTGAACCCAGTTACCTGGGTGTCAGCTTCATTAAACTTCAGTAGACATTTATTGTATTGTGCTGCTGTTTGTGTTTTAGTCCGTTACAGCAAACACATTAAGTGTCCTTTGGTAGCCAGATACATTTTGGTATAAGCATTCATGGATTAGCTCACTTGAAGTGTCATTTTCAGTTGGTAGGTAATATAGAAGTGTGCAAGCACAGTTGCACACAAACATACAACATAAGAGAACAATATAAACGCTGGGCAGAGGTCTATGGAACACAAACATTTTCATGGACTAGAGTCCACTCCATCAAATGCTATGGGGAATCTTCAGCTGGCAGATAGATACATGCACGCAAGAGACATAATTTCACGCAGTGGGCCTCAAAAGCCACAAAATGAGTAAACTACTATTTGTATCTCCTTGTTAATGTGTTTGAACTGTTATATTTCTTTAGTCAGTAGAGGCTAGAAAGTAGTACTTTTGCTTTTAGTGGTGCAAATGCACGTGCTATATAAATTTTTGCTCAGAATTGGTGAGCTGAGCCTGTGACCCTTTCCAAGTTTTGCATTAGAGGCATTCCTGAGTACAGTCGCAAGCCTCTCAACATACTCTCATAGTGACAGAGAATGTTGTAAGCTGCCCTGCCCTTAAGAATAAAAATCATCTATTCTCTTTCAACAGCATGAGGTATTTTGACAGGGCAGCCTTGTTTGTTGAAGCTTGTCTCAACTATGGCACAATTGAAGTCAACGAAGATTCAAATATCCTTTTTATCCAGTGACTGAATACAAGAAGTCTCTTAAATAGGATTGCTTTGGGGGTTCTGTACTGTGTAATGTGTGTTTCAAATGAATTACTCATTTTGAGAGAAGAAAAAAATATTCATCGTTGAGGGAAGGGATAACATTTTCCCCAAAATGAAATGGAGGATCCAGGTGATTATAAGCAGAGAATTCAGTGAAAAATAGCACAAGTAGTATTGGGCATTTTCATGTTCAAGAGCCAAGTATTCCTCTCAGATAGCGCTAGCTTATTTAAATTAAATTAAATTAAATTGCATCACTTTCTAGAGTCATTATGATGACTCTGTGTTGTGGGGGATGGGAGAGAAGAGGTCTGGTAGCTGATTGTCTGTTTACTCACTTCACTCTGTGCATTCCTTAACCCACACTTTACAAAAACTCATCCATGCAATATTTGCAGACTATGCCAGAAGCCTGAAGACTCTGGGGTTTAAACAGGCTGCTACTTTATTTGCCTCAAAAGCGGGACCAGCTGGTAAAGATCTATTGAATGAACTTGAACAGCTGAAAGAAGAAGAATGACAGCTCTTAAGCGAACCACTAAAAACAGAGATTTCCCATCAGATGTAATCATCAGTGAAGTAACTCTTTTAAAAGACAATGAAGGGGGCTTCTTTATGGTGAAAAATACAGTTTGGTCACAGTAGAAATTGGAAATGCTGAATGTCATGTGTGGGCAGAATTTTCTCCTAATTTGTAGAGATAATGAGTTAAGGAAAATGTCTGCATTTCTCTTAAACCAAAATTTAAGTGCTCATAAGAGCTTTTAGCTACTTAAGGCAAAGAAATGATTCATCTTCTGGTGTCTTTGAATGAAAAGTACAGAGCCATTTTGCAACCCCCAAGCACCCATATCACATCTGACATTTCCAGCAGAATCTCTTGCAATGATGCAGATGATATTGGGACTCAGTCCTGCACTCTAGCATTCTCTGTGGCTTTGTGAAAAGGAACATACATTTCAGTTTGTACACTGCTTCACTCCTTCTGCTAAATATATCACTGCTCCAAGCAACATCTAGCAGCTTGCTCACTTGATACTGGAGATGACCTGGTATTTCATCTTAAAGTGAGCTTCTTCAAAAAGGGGGAGACTCTTTCACCCAAAAGCATGGGAGCTATGCAGTTCCCAGAGCTTGTCTGACCAGTCTTCCTTACCAGTTGAGGAAAAGCTTGGACAGGATTCCCTTTTAAAGCATGATCTCTGTGTATGTCTTCCTTCACCCCCTCCCCAAGCCCACGTGACTAGTAAGCCCTGCTGTGGACTTGCTTGCAGCCACTTGGATGAGAAGATGTGTAATGGGATCCTGCCTGAGCTTTAGCACCTTGTTGGGATGCTTCCCAAGCATTGTCAGCCGAGCTCTGGAATTTCCCAAGTTCTTGCTGTGAAGGAGTTTGGAGGCCTTCAGAGCCAGTGTTTGATACGCTTCCTGCTTGTGTCAAGGAGCCAGGCAAGAGACATAGATGGAATTTCAAGTGGACTTGAATAAAAAACATATGAACTCTGCTGGATCAGACCAAAGACCTACCATCTAGCCCAGCATCCTGTTTTCCACAGTGGTCAACCAGATGCCTATGGGAAGCCCACAAGCAGGGCATGAGTGCAAAAGTCCATTTAATGCTGGACGTTTATGCAGAAGTCCCCTCAGGCTGCCTCCAATTCTGGAGGTTGTATATGGTTATCGTGACTACTGGTCATGATAGCTTTAACCTCCTTTTGTCCGATCCCCCTTTAAAGCTGCTCATTTTACAAACAAAACTAAAAATGAGAGTATGCTCTCATGTACATTTTACTGAGCTCTCTTGGCTATTTTAAACGAACCTATAACCCTAACCTATTTTAAATGAATCCAAGGTTAAACTTCTGCCAGTTGCGTAATACTGTTTTCCGTTTGAAACTGGGACAGGGGCCCTTTTTCAGAGCCACATTTCCCTGCGGGGGCAGCCTTGTGGGGCCTGCGTGCCAGTGGTTGGTGGGGCCCAAGGCCATAGTAGGTGGAGCAACAGATAAAACTTTCACCTGTAGTGCAGTCTACATTGCAGCTGTGTGAAAGCCCCACTCCAACTCTTCTGTCTTTGATCCTACATTTAGGCAAGCAAGACACATTATCAAGCTTCAAGGGCTCTTTTTTCATAGTTTTTTGTATTTTTTTTACAGTCAAACTATATAAATTTTATGAAATAAATTCCCACCAGACAAAACCACTCAAGGTAGCAGGATAGTAGGGGCCTTGGCCTAAGGAAAGTTCTGAGGGCCAGAGAGGTTTAGACGGACACATTCAATCTATAGCTTATAGGTTCTCTCTCCCTGGTTTAGGAAGAAAAGCACAGTTCTATTATGCTAATTCTTTATTTCTCCTTTTGTATTCTGGGCATTATGTGTGTGTTTAATTGCACGCTCAAATACATTCTGATCACGGCCTGGTCTCTTTGTGTCGAGGCTGCCATCCCATTCTGTATACATTAAAGCTTTATTAATGAAAAATGTATCTTTTAAATATTTTATGCAGCTTTTCTCCTCCAGAAAATCAGTATGGGTTTTCATCATCACTGTGGCATAATATGTATGGCTTCCTGAATTGCTTTGGTTCCACGGAGGTATCTGTGGATTCTGTTTTTTTAAGTATGCATCTTCAATAGAAGGGAGCACACAAAAGTTTCCTCCTTTCTGGCTGATGATCTAATCTAATGGGTATACTGTGCATAAAATGTATAGCTGTAGTACAGTACCAAATTCCATGATGCACTCACTCATTCTTAGAGCAGAAAAAGATGTTATCTCTTTGGGACAGCTTCTCCCTACATCATTCTTGATAGTAGGAGATAGTAGTAAATCATTCAGTGAGAGCAAATGTGTATTTCACAAGCAAGTACCCTAAGAGTGGGGATGGAGAGTCAGAAATGAACAAACGCATGTAGACTTCATAAAACTTGGGAGGAAGATTTCCTACCTACATGGGCTTCATAATAATAAAATATTAATGCAGATTACAAGAAAACAGGGGAAACACACACATTTGGTATTTGGTCATTTAAACTTGCCCATATTGTTTTGTTCCTTGTGTTTATTATAAGGGTGTATTATCAGGACCTATTTGCATTCCATGATTTTATAATTTCACTTACGATTTGCACTTAGAAATGGGTTCTAGGTCCTCAAACACAACTTTGTTTGCCAGTTTAAATAAATCAGTTAATTGTGCAATACTGATGGATTGATGTGAAACCAATGTTTTTGCTTTGGAGCTCAGCAACCACGCATTGCCTTTAACAGCTAATGTCACTTTGGCACAGCGAAGGGCGAAATGAAATATCTTATCAAAGGAAGAACAACAAAATGACCCCTTTTCAAGTTCTTGTGAGAGAAATGCTCATGTTGGTTGGATTTCCAACTTCTCTGGGAACTGGATAATTGGTTTCTGGCAATATGTAATGTGCACTGAACTGTGGATTCATTTAACTGTGTTTTGAATGTCTCCTTTGGCTCCTTTTCATACAGACTGCTTCATAGGATCAGTGCAGTAGAGGATCTTTTGATGCTGCCTCTTTCATCAGGTTGTGATTTCAAAATTGTTAGAATTTTAGACTGAGAATAGTCTTACTCAGATCCTCAGACTTCTTGAAACACAGGGAGTCTTTGCAGTGGTTGAAAGGCTATTGTGGTTAACAAGACTGTTTGAGTGCCTGCCTTCTGTGCCTAGTGCTAAACAGTAGTGCTAGCCACTTGAAGACATTCTAAAACAATCCTAGGTACTATATACCATGGCTAAGTAGAGATCTGTTCAAAACCCATTTATGATGTCTGGAAGCATTTCTATCTGCAGAATGGTCATAAGCTGGAGAAATGTATGAAGATGCTTGCTTACAAATGTTCTCAGCCAGCAAGACCTATTCCGTTCATTTAACTGGCAGGAATTGTAAAAGTCTGGGTGGAGGGATATCACTAATTTCAAATGAAACATCAGATCTGTGGGCATATCTTTCTACGTGCATGAAAATGCTGCGTCCATTGAAATTAAGAGGGCAGCTCACAGGAGAAATACCTCTATCAGAAAAACACAGATCTAGGATGTGATGACTGCATGATCGTATCTTTATTTCTTTGGTTCACAGTGGCATTTCCCCGCATATCTATTTTTTGGTATAGCAGGCCAAGTTATCTCTTAGAAATACTGGCTGGGGGAAAACATGATTATATGTGATTTGCGCTCATGAAAGCTGGTCAATTCAAAATAGTGCTTGTTAAGTGAATAATGTTCAGAAAACTGATTATTCTGATTTTGATAATTTGCTCATTTGTTAGCATATTGTTAGTTTGTCGATACTCACAATTTTTGTAGTCTGGTTTTTCCATATATCTTCTAGTCTCTTAAGTTTCTTTCCCTTTCTTTTCTCCTCCTTATGAAAGACATGTCTCTGTTTTTAGGAAGCCTGTAAGAAGCCCTTTTTAATTCAATTGACACACAATTACTTAAAGTTGCTCAGTAGTCTCCAAATTTGTGGACGTATTATTTTAATCTAAGCCAAGAGAATATTGCCGGTGGCAAACCTATTCACAGCGGAATTTGTTATATGGCATTTATAATAAGCAAAACTGATGTCATTGCTTATATACATGGAAAACGGTAAATTATAATGTCTTGAAATGTTCTCAAGACAACTTCCTCAACACATTTCACTTGTCACAATATGCATTCCTTTTAGACAATACAGAAAGTGTGCAACTCCTGCCAACTCGCTTTGGAAACACATTGTGGGGCTTTGTGTGGTTTTTTTTTAAGTGTGCTACTGTCACATCACTGCATTCAGTGTCCCCTTGCAAGCTGTAGACAATGACTTGAAGTAGAAGACAGGGAGGAGGTGCTAAACATGATATTGCATTGAAAGTCAATACAGCAATGTCCTGGTCCATTGGTAAAGAGAGAATATGTAATAACTTGGCCTTGGGGAAATTCACAACAGAACTGGCTTGAGGCTTTAAATTTTAGGCTAAGCCGCATAACATATTGTCAGCCATGCTCTCAGTAGGCTCCATGTATATCAGCAGCAGTCTTTTTGTAAAAACAAGGCTGTGCATTTGCCACTCTAGAATTTCACATAGTGATAGTTAACATTTTTAAAATCAGTACCATCATATTTGGAAATCGTTGATGTTGAGAGAAGCCTTACACTGGGTGTATGTTCTTCACAGCATGTTCTGGTGCATGTTTACTCAGATGTAAGCCCCACTGTGTTCAGCTGGGTCTACTCCCAACTAAATATGCACAGCATTACAGCCTTAAAGTTTGTATATTTTGCACAATATGAAGTGCGCCGTCGATTCCTTGTACAAAGATGGGACAAATCATTGTAAAAAATTTTTTGTTATTGTTAAGTCATGGAAAGGTTACTAAAATTTAGTTTCAAAAACAGTTAGGTGTGTTGTGATGTAATCCTAGAAATTGTAGATGTACCCTGATATTGTACAGAGGTACTTAGTGAAAGTGTCATTCATGTAACTGTGGCATAAGCTTTTGTGTGTTATATCTGTTTTCGTCTATTTGTAAGCCATTGGCTGAGTTGCTGTGGTATCACAGATGCAAGAAACTGTCAGCACAGTGCTGACAAGCAATGTTCTTTCTCAAAGAAAGAGATGAGTTTGGGAGAAAGCATACAGAGGCTAGGGACAGGAGCAAGTAGGGAAGCTTTAGAACTGGAAAGTGCACAAACTACTTAAAACATAAGAATCAATTGGAAATTTTCTCCCTTCTACAATGGCTACATTGAACTCTCCTTCTGCCCCTGGTGTTGTGTAAAAGGTATAGCAGGTGGGGGAAATCATTATTAACAATTCAGTTGCCTGGCCACTGGTAATCTGTTCACCCATATGGAGCATATGAAAATGAGCTTTCATGTACTAAATACTTTACACTTTCCTTTATGCCCAAACATATACTGCCAGCATGTAATAGCTCCCTTTTCTTCAAAATAAGTGGATAAAATTCATAACTGCAAGAGAGAGGGTTCTGTTCCTATGAAGTGTAAATAAGAGATTCCTCTGAAGGCAAGCTGGTGACAGGTCAAGTCATTCTTTTCTATTTCAGTTAGGCTTCACCTTTGACAATGATCTATTGATTCTGACAAGCTGCCATAAGATTACTCTTCCTCGCTGCTGATCTTGGTGGGAGCAAGCTATGGGAGGAAATATGTATCCAGAAGAGGCTGAAATGTGATCAGAAATATGAATGCTACTTACAATGGAGAGTACTGACCTTTCTCAGTTCTTACATACTGCAGAGCTGTCTTGAGTAACCCATGATGTGTTGTGCTACAGTTAGACTGAATGAAATGGAATGGCCAGATACTAAATTGAAAAATTAAATACTTGCAAGGCTCAACTGACAGCAATAAAAAACCAGGCCTTTAGCATCATCAGCAACAGAGTCCTATGGAATGCTCTGCCAAGAGATTCAGCAGGCGCCTTCTGTTTCAATTGTCTAAGTCCAGGCTTTTGCAGGCAATAGTTAATGGTCTCTAATTTTAATTTTTTACTTAAATACTTCGAGATTATAAACTTAGATTTTTATCATATAGTGACATATTAATATTTCTATTAATGTAGAAATGTTGGGAACAGCAAAATGCATAGCATGTTACCAAACATAATGGGACCTGGTGACAGCACTCACTTAAACCTTACAAATGAAACTCTGATTCCCATTGTATTGAGATAATGAGAGCTGTAAGAATACTTGCATTCGGTACCCTTAGTAGGAACGATAAATGTCAGCTTTCATTTTAGAGGCCTCAGAGTGCATGGTGGAGAAGTGTAAGTCATCCCCCCAAAATTGGATTAATACATAGCTGAGAGAAAAAGTTTCTAAAAGATGGGGGGGGCATTACACTCTTTCACTGTGGCAGAGGTGAGTCTCAGGATACTCTTTTTCTGACAGAGCTGTTGGACAGTGGAACGGACTCCCTCAGGAGGTGGAGAACTAAACTTATTAAAATAATAACCAGTTCTAAGTTGTTGTCTGGAACAAAAAAAGCAAGAGCGACTCAACTTTGGTTGATGAAATCCGAGCACTAGTGATGCGGAAAGAGCTGTTCTGGAAGAGCCGCCCCTCATGTTTCCTCTGAATTATTTCCTACTACCAGTTTGTCTTCCATTCAGACCTCTCATTATCTCGTTATAGTCAAATTAATTGCAATGGGTGTTCTTAAACGTTGTTCCTACTTTGCAAAACCACAAGCATCCTTCTTAAGGAACAATCTAAGCCATTCATGACAACATCCAACAGGCATTTCATCAGCAGGGCTCATTTTATCCTTTGTTTTCTTCTTTTTTCTTTTTCTTTTCTTTTTTACATAGCCTTCCAGACTCAGAGGAAGTAATTTGCCAGATCAGTGTTCTTTTGCTCTTGTTTTCATGGCTATGCCCCCCGCCCACCTTTCCTCTCAGGCACTTCTTATCCCAAACATGAGACTTGGGCACAACAAACTTGCTCTTGTTTGACTCACTTAGGCTGGGTTCCCTGACCTGGAACTTGGCCAAGGCAGACTACATATTGTAAAGATATGAACCCGCGAGGCATAAAACCCAGGAAGTAAGCTACAAAGGCTTCCAAAAATATGGTGGGTATACCTTACTAATTTGGCCTGCCTCCCATTCTTCTCTCGCACATGCTGTACAGCAGTCGATGCCCAAAGCCCCAGGCCAATGTATGCTGCGATCCACACCCAGAGCTGCTGCTCAAGGCAAGAACGTGTAAACTAACAGAGCTGTGTCCCCATTCAAACAAATGGGAAAGCTTTTCTCATGAGGTAGCTTAAGTGTATGTGTATCTTCAGGGACCCTGTGCCAATCAGGAATCCTTTGACTATGGTGCCTGTGTGATTTCTGGTTTAGAGCTATCCTTTTTATTTTCGTTCGTTTCCTTCTAAGACCAAGTTGAGCACCACAAAATGCCCATTTTCGATTGCTTTTCTCCTGCACTTGGCAGAACCGTTCAAATCCACACCTCCTCTCCTCCTCTCCACCCTCAGTAAGGCAGCAATTGAGATGCTGCCTTTTCCAGTTAAGGAATCAATCCATAAATTATTCCTGTGTCCGGATAGCTTGATACACGTGTCACTCACTTCATTGGAATGCATTGTTCTGAGGCTGGAATTGTACGCTTGGTATGCTTGCTTCAGTTCCATAGAAGACTTTTGCTAAACAATAACTCTCCATGTGCAAGATTTAGAAATACCACGAAACCGCATTTTTTCCTGCATAACTAATAGTCTGGATTCTTCTTTGTACATCACAGCCATGAAAGGGCTGCACAAGTAGAAAGGGTGGTGACTTGTGCTAGCTTCCCCATGTTTAGGGGTAACTTAGCACCAAGTATCCCCCAAGCCGTGTACCTGCTCCTTCAGAGGGAGTGTAAATCCCACAAAGAGCAGGCAACCTCCAATCCATTTGGTCAAGGGAACCGCCCACTAACAGTGCTTAAGTCTTATCTAGATTGAGCTTCATTATATTGACTGTCATCCAGTCCATTACCGAGGCAAAACAATGATCCAGCTCTTTCACTTCCTGGGATGGAAGTTAAAACTTTTCTCTGATTCTCTTTCCTCTCAAAATGGCCTTGGCCCAGTATACCTGAAGGAGTGTCTCCACCCCCACTGTTCAGCCCGGACACTGAGGTCCAGCTCTGAGGGTCTGCTGGCGGTTCCCTCACTGCGAAAAGTGAGGTTACAGGGAACCAGGCAGAGGGCCTTCTTGGTAGTGGCGCCCGCCCTGTGGGACGCCCTCCCACCAGATGTCAAGGGAATAAACAACTATCTGACTTTTAGAAGATACCTGAAGGCAGCCCTGTTTAGGGAAGTTTATTATGTTTGATGTCGCTTTTTTATTAATATTCTGTTGTGAGCTGCCCAGAGTGGCTGGGGAAACCCAGCCAGATTGGCGGGGTATAAATAATAAATTATTATTATTATTATATTATTCTATGACCTTTGATGATTGCTTCCCTGTTTGGTTGTGCTTTTATTTTGTAGGTATGAATTGACTGTTTTAAGACAAAAATGAAGAAAACAATATAGCAATCTTGTTCCGATATTTTCTTACATTTGTGACCTGTCTTGTGCCCTACTTTGTAGCAGAAGGAATGTTATCCATAAAAGAAAGAAGTGTGTTACGTTATATTTTAGATTACATAATTATAATACCATTAGGAAAGATGGTACTGTTCCGTTACCGTCTGACATCTAGCACAATGTAGTCTGATCTTTGACTGACTCTTCTTTGGAATAAATGTGCATATGATATTTACTGTTCAAAATAGTTGCTTTCAATGAAATGCCCTAACCTGTAAACGATAACCATAGCTCCTTTAGTAAAGACAGTCACAGGCATTCTTACATATTTAATCCAGCAGAGTGCAGCAGAGATCAGGGAATCATAATATAGAATACTTAATTCTATCCGGGAATAGTGATTGTTGTGGGAAACAGAAACAAGCTCAGTAGTTATTTTCATCTAAAAGTGTGCTTAATGATATGGCAGCCCCAATATTACAATTTAGCAGAATATAAGCAGTGTTGTGGCTTTTTGTGGAAAAATTACTATTTAAAATTAGAATAATATGCATAGGGCAATTTGCATTTGGAAAAATTTAGTTTGCATCAGAAAAATTGTTGGTGCCCTAGAATAATTAATTAACTTAACTTGTTTGTTTGTCTTTGTATTTAGTAAACAAAGCTAAAATGTTTGAAATTGCCAATTTTGCCTAATATTGTGTTTGCAGTTGGAAACCATTCATTGATATTAAAGAACTTATGAAATCGGGAGGGAAATATTTTGAAAAATATAGCAGTAGAAAATGTTCTGCCTCCTATCACTTGATAAAATATTTTCTTGAAAATTCTGCTTTTGTGTTTAACTGTCTTGAAAGGTCAAAATCCTATTGCTCTGCCAAGAGAAAGCGGAGACTACTTTTTCTTAAAACTGTGGAAATAAATCAGAATGAAATGATTAAAGTAGTTTAATGTGAACTGATGGATTATTGGAGAACATTTGGTTTTCCATGAGACCTCAGTAACATCCTGTCAAAATTCTGAGGACAGAGATGTTAAAAGCATAGATGATAAAGGCATTTGGCTCAAAAGTAGTCAACAAACAGTGGTTTCTTGATTCCAAATTGAAAAGTAAACTACTTAAAAAATCATCTGACCTAGGCTTGAAGAACCTATCTAGAACTTGAAATGTGTGTTACTTAGATCAGTTTACATATCTTACTGACAGAAGAAAGGAGGGCATGAAAAAATTATGACAGGAAAGACTTGGCGTGTCAGAGTTTTGAAAGGCACAGATCAACAAACTTGCTCATACATGTTTGTGTGTTCTTTCCCCCTCTCAACTTCTGGTGAATTGTTGCTCCAGAGACTGATTTTACAGATTTAAACCTTTTCAATAAGCTATGACAAGGTAAGAGCCTAAGTGACCTCAGGTGAAAGAGACCGGTTACTGCTGGGAGATATATTTGTTCAATAAATCA